CTTCTTCCCGCATTCGATTCCTGTTGCTTGGCCTGCCAGATAAGGTTCTCGACTTCAAATGTGCTGCCTGTGCTCAAACCGCTAAAGCAGCATAGAGGATGAGTTGGGATATTTGGTGCAGCATGCATGCCTGTTACTGATAATGGAAGCAATAATGTTACATTTGCATCCTGTGAACATGCACGTAACCATGCAAAGGTTTCCATATCACTTTAACTTTTTCACATTTGATCATCTTACATCAACAATCTTTGATATTTATTTGGAATTTATGTGTAGAAAAAAGTGATAGGAAAAAAGATATAAGCCCCCATTGACATAGCAACTCAAAAAACAGAGCAATCATTAGCTTGAAATGTTTCCTAGTTCATAAACATGGCCACATGTGTAAAAAATTGTTGTTTTAATTGTGTGGAAAAAACACATCAATCAACAACCTTCACTTGGTTTGGATCACCTTTACACTACATTTTTAAAAGGGCAGCATGCTGCCTGGACAACATTAGACAGTCACAACAGCTTCTTATTTGAGGCACAATCCAGCACAAACATTAATTTGTTGTCTGTTTAGAAAATAAATATTTTCAGACTACATCTAAGATTGAAAATCATTCTCAAACCCACAAACAAACTTACACCGTCAAATAAATGTTCTAAACTCCTAGAATGAGTGAAACTTAGAACACAGTTAAGAAATTATCCGAATCATGTTCGCTCCTGGGTGGAACGTCACATGTTTTAAGTACATCTCATACGTCACAAGGAGGACTTTCACATGTACAAATTCTGAGAGTGCGTTTATCTGTTCCTTCAAATTGTCCCTGTCGTAGGAGTTTCCGTGAAAGTTTTGTGCTTTAGTTGACTTTAGATAGACTGAAGAATCCATGTTCCCTCGGGAGGTCCAGTTAACTGTTTGACACCAAGTCTGTCAGCTTGTTTTTGTGAACACTTAGTCTTTTCAAATTTTGTCAAGACTGTAAAAGTTGTGTTGTGTATCTGAAGCCTAAGAAGTCCAAATTACAGTTTGCCACAAAGCATAAAGATGTACAACAAATCAGTGTCAAGATGAATTTAAGATGTTGTTTTTTAGCCAAAATGCAAAAATAAAAATAAAAAATTAAACTCTATGTGCACATTGCCCTGAAAATACTCTGCAAACGTTATTACATTGTGGTGGCAGCAACATACTGTGGGAAAATCAACCTTCTTCACAGAGGCTGGACAAGTTAATGGGAAGCTGCATTGAGCTCATTACTGATGAATCTGGACTTAAATGAAACAAACTATACAAACGCACAGCTTACTTTATGGCTTTCAGAAACCTCTCTTTGGTTTCACTTCATTGCATGTTGTGAAAGGTTGCAGTGTTAATTTAATATGAAAAGTTTAAGGAGCATGAATACTTTCAAAAGGCCCCATAAAGTTTCTTTGGTGTCGTCGAAAAGTAACTCAGACAATCATTTGCACACAAGCTAATTAGTTTCTTGGAAGAAAAGTAGTGTATCCACAAAAAAAGATATTCTTTAATCCGACTGTTTCTTAATCTCCTTAAAGCAGTTTTCAGTGTTTTATAATGACCATTCCAAATTTCCTGTCAAGAAAGCCATTAATAGAATATTAATGGAATATTAATGTAAATGCTTTGGAAACTTCTGGCTATTATAATTGTCTTTGTTCTACTTTGAGAAATTTCTGTCCTGCGTCTCTTTTTAGTGCCCCAGTCTCTTTGAGATTTTCTGTGCTGTTTTTTTTCGTTGTGCAGTATCTTTTATTCCATTCCTTTCCGTCTATCAGTTTTTTTCTTTTGTTTTTTTACCAAGCTCATAACCTGAGCTTACTTAGAACTTACATCTGAAGCTCATATCCAATGCAGTAGCACAGTGGCAATCATCAAACAGAAATTCCTCAAACATCATGTGTCCTTCAGGCCTTTCCTTTGCCGTTGTAGCAGCATGAAGCTATCCACCATATGCATGCTCTAACTGGGAGCTGTCTTAACAACTGCACCTCATGTTTCTCTGAGTGTCTTCTGATGGCTGGAAACAGCAGGAATCTCCCAAATAATTTCCGACTAGAACTATGCATGAGCGGCACATAATTTCACTCTGACCTGCTCTTGCTGGCAGCGCAGTCACAATGTGTTGCAAATGTGCTGTGCATTTTTCAGTTTGGGCTCCTAAAATTGCAAAATAAATGTTTTGTATTCATGCTTTTTGGTTCTTGCTGAAAGTCAGAATAACGCAAAGAGAATTATCAGAGCTTAGGGATTGTTCAAATAAATCTCAAACTGAAACTCCATTATGGTGTGTATAAAATGAAGCGTGAGAATATTTTTTATTATGACTGAGTGCATAATTGTTAAATGTAAAAAGATAATTTCACATTTAACTTTCGAGAGTTAAGTCCAAATTCTCAAACGTTTGGACTTAATGACAAAGTTGAAGTTGTCTATGGTCATTCCTGAAAAACAAAGAAAACATTAATGGAGAATAGAGCAGTATCTACTGCAGCTCCTAAAGTCCCCCAAAAGCATTTTTTTCCCTTTTTATCCATAAAATAATGATTTCTACATACATTATCAAATATATATTATTGTAAAAACAAATCAATTCATGATGAAATTGTGTGTTTTGGATGTTATAACGACATAGAATTATTACTAAGAAAAATAAATGAAAATTAGCTCCCATAAGGGGGCCCAAAGTGGTCCTGGGGCCCTATAAGAGGCTGCTTAGTTTGCTCGTGCCTTGGGCCGGCCTTGCTGCAGAACAGTGTATGGTAAGCATGGAGGCACATTTGCTGCACCAGTGGCTGAAACATTCAAAGACCATTTAATTTTGAAGTCAGATCGACATACATGTCAAGAAGTATCTGAAACCACTGTGAGTGACAAGAGGAGGTAACACTCAATTTCTACATGCATTATAGAGGCAGAGGCCATGGGCTCAGATGACACCATGACAAACATCTCTGGATACATTTGCATATTATCTTGTGGACATACTGCAGAGGTTCTTAATTGATCAGCAATAGCTATAGAGGAAGAAAAGTGTTGCTGTTTCTGCACAGAAAGACTGAAATGTGGGAAAGAACACCAGCAGATCAAAAAAAGAAGTTTTCCCAGAGGCAAAACAAGAAAATGAGTCATTATAGTGGATGTACTATCAGGTACATTCAAACAGCACGACAAGTGAATGAATGCCTTAAAAGTTTGGCATAAAAGGGTTTTTCATTTTGCTGCTGTGGGAAAAACAATATCTAATCTGTAGTAACAGATCAGGCAAAATCTTTATTTCAGTCGTTTGCAAATGGAGAACACACAGTAACCACAGCACAACAGCTGCACCTACAATGAGTTCTGACTTGGAGCTGCAAGCTCTCACAATATATAGGATTCTTTATACAATGTGGTCACTCACTGGCCCAGAGCCAGTCGAACAGGTTAATGCACCGTCACTCTTAACAGGGTATAGAGAGAATGCAACATCCATTCTTAGGGTAAGTTAATTGCTCAGATGATAAACATCTTTGTTCAAAAATAGGTGCATTTCCAAAAATCAGGTTTACTAATGGAACAATTTTGCATAACAAGAACATTATCAGACTTTGTACGTTGACTCAGCACTTAGCCTTAGCTTGTGACATTTAATGGAGGAATTTGTTAAGCCTTAGGGTTTATTCTATCTCACTACAATTACCTAACCTGTTTATTGTTATCTGTTAATAAACACTGGCGCCTTATTTCAGTCACTGACAACCTACTAGAACTTTTCCAAGGAGAGGTCAAAAGGAAACCTATCTAACTGATTCTTCAAAGACTCCTTGACCTACACGGTTTAACAGACTAAACAATACTAGTGTTAATTGACTAAAGAATTAAAATAAAATTCTTAAAAGAAATAATAACACAATTTTTACTTCACACTGCAATATCCCCCTAGGTAGACATAAATGCCGTAGTTATGGACCTGACTGTAAAACCTCCAGAGGAAGGCTGCTTATCGCCCATAAACATTGGCGGAGATGTATATGTATAGTGTGATTGCTGCTTTTATGGAAAAGAGTATTTTTGTGCAAAACAGTTAGTAAATTTGATGTGATTTTGTATGTCGTTTCTACAGCCAGGTTGTCACCCTGTCTGCAGAGCCAGCTTCCCAGGTGCAGCACATCACAGCTGAGACCTCACTCTCTGATCGTTCTGACCCGTTTCACACAAACGCAACCAGAAACTTATAGGCGCATGCAATAAATTGCAAAGCAAAACAGCCACACGCAAAACAGTAACGTATATGCCAGGCTTAATTTCTGCTCTGCTGAGTCTGTTGGTGTCACATCTTTACAGATGTTTTAGCCACGGGGACAGGGAGACACTGAATTTGCACAAATTGTCTTTCTAGCCATTTGGCTGGAACAGCAGGTTTTGAAATGATAATGAATACGTGGGCCAGGATCTCCCACATGGCATCGTGTCTAGTGTGGAAACAGAAGATATAAAAGATGGCAGCCCTGAAAAGCAGAAGAATAATGTTTATTTTTACATGTGAAATATGAAATTTAGGTTCAGGCAGTACAAGGATGATAACACAGTCTGTGTTTCTCAGAAGGGATAAATATCTAAAAAGAAGAAAATGGTGAATCTGTAGGTATTATTTTCACTGAAGTGTGCGGCGGGTTCTGCATGCTCCTCTATTACAGTTATAAAATTTTGCTGTTTTGTAGCATTGTTTAAAATAACCAAGATGTTATAACCATTCTTTTATTATTATTATTATTATTATTATTATTATTATTATTATTATTATTATTATTATTATTATTATTATTATTATTATTATTATTATTATTATTATTATTATTATTATTATTATTATAGCATAATAAAAAGACAAAAACTGCTAAAACAATGGCTAATGAAATTGAGGCTGCTCTGCAGGCACACTCCATCACATGTGCACTTGGCTATAGATTGTAGGCGTAATAAATACAAATCCATGTGTCTTATGTCATGCACACAGAGGTCAAAAGGAAAAGGGGAGAGGCAGAGCAAAGGTCAGACTCCACAGGAGTATAACTACTTATTGAGTGTGAAGAGAGGCAAGTGTGAGGAGATGCAGCAAAACGGCGTATCACAGCATCCTCTGGACATGGCAGCTGCCCCTGAGCCAAAGCTGCTGTGCATATTTGGGACCGGGGACCTGGGGCGCTCACTGGGCCTCCGTCTGCTCCAGTCTGGCTATGGAGTTGTGTGTGGCAGCAGAAGACCACACAGCTGTGGCCCTTTGCCGCAGGGAGCTCAGGTAAACATCACTGAAGCTGGAGTTTTTCTCTCAAAAACTGAAGAATGGAGACAAACGTGTGTGTGTGATGTATGTAATTATGTAATGAATTATGAAGAGCTGAATACATGTTTTGTACAGGTGATGACCCATGCAGAAGCAGCCCAGTCTTCTAACCTGATCTTTATTTGTGTTCACCGTGAACATTATGGCTTCTTGACAAAATTGGAGCATCATCTTAAAGGGAAGGTAAATAAACACAAACTAACAGTATGGTTTGATTGTTTATATCCAGTGGCTATCAAATGTATTCACTCTCCTTGATTTTTATTGATTTTAGAACTGATATGATCAACAAAATTTGGCTTTTTTCTAAAGATTTAAACCTTTTAAACCTTTTAAATGTATTTTGTTTTGAAGGTATTGGTGGATCTCAGTAACAACCTGAAGAAAGGCATATACCCAGAATCCAATGCTGCTTACTTGCAGAGGTAACAATCTATAAAAAAATTTAAAAAAAATGCAGAAGAAAATGAATACATTTTAGGATTGTACATTGTTATACAGATTTTAGCCCTATTGCTAAGCAAATAATGTAAGTTTAGATTATTTTATCCATTACATGGCCTTTGCTTACTCTTTGTAAAACTCCAGTCTGACCTCCATGTACAGCGTTTTACTTGTTCCACGGCATCCTTGGCATTTAAACTTTTTCAGTCTCTTTCTGACTTTACAGACATGGACTTTCATGTGACATTTTAGTTTTTGGAGACTTGCTTGAGCATTTTATGTTCTGCTCTCAGGTTATGGTGGTTAAACGTGGGCATGCTGGCAATTGCTCAGAATGTCCTTTTACATGCACCTCGAAGTGAAAATGAGATTTGAGATTCTTTTAAACCTTTTTCAAATTCCTTGCTACATTCATAGGCTGACATAATCTTCTTGATGAGGTCCTCAGACTGCTCTTTTAATCATATCATGGTGTTCCCTTGCAAATCAAAAGTCAGGAACAAAACTGTCTGTGGTTTAAACAGGGCAAGCCTCCATCACAATGCCGTGTAGGGATGTTGTAATGTAACCGTTTTCACCTGATGTGATATACATTTGTGTAGGATTTAGACTATGTGGGGAAATGGGGGTGTACTAATGTATCCCTCACTTGAAATGATAAGAAATGATGTTTGAAATGTATTATTATGTTAGAAAAACATTAGATTCAAGGTTTTCAAAGCATGCCCTTTATCAGGAAAAATATGAAATGTTAGGTATTTTCCTTGAACCTACAATAAAATAACCACAGACAACGTATATGAATTAAATATGGTCAGGCTTCTGCAGAAGGAGAAATCCCGATCAACAGCTCCTCCGGGCTGGTCAATAGAGAGTTCTGATCTGCTTTCACGTGAGCTCCCTCTTTATTGTCAAAGCATCAAACAACAGAGGTCGTAAAACATTTAACATAAACAGACCAACAACTCAGTTCCAGGTGTGATATCTAATTTACAATCTGAGCCCAGTTCAGCTCTGGTCAAACTGTCACCTAAGACCGGGTAGATAAACACCAGAGAAAACTTTAGGGTCTGAGAACCATAAAGTTTTACTATCTCGCATGAAGACAGTTGTAACCTCCAGGTCAGTTTATACTAAATCACAATAATACTTTAGACTGAATATAAACTAAAGTAACAATAAAATGATAATAATAAAAAATATCTAACAGAAAGTTCTAAGACAGATTTCTTTTGAAACCAATGAAGGTAAAATGTGCTCTGCTCTTCAGGCTGGTTCCCAGTGCTGCTGTGGTAAAAGGTCTTAACACGCTGTCTGCCTGGGCCCTGCAGAATGGACTTTTAGCAGGAAAACTGGTAAGAAGTAAATAATCTTTTAGAGATTGTCAGTGGGATCAAGGCAAAACAACACCAGGAAGCTGCTAGGCATTAAGAAACACTTTAGCTGACAGGAAGGAAAGATACAAAGACAGAGCAGTAAAAGGGAGGAGATTACCAGCTTGATCTGTTCATGATGAGAAACACTTGACATCAAACCTGGAAACAGTGCCTGCTTTCATCACTTATTGTACATTGGGAAAAGTGCCTCTCAGAATTGTAAACATAAAAAAGATTACTTCGTCATACACTGTGCACAACCTGGAAATGGAATTTATTTCTTTTGCCTTCCTGCTGATAACTGATTGCATCAACTTTCCATCTGAGGAGTACAGAAAATAAGGACATTATAAAAAACAAAGGAAAACATCACACACACACACACACGCCAACACACCTTATTATGTTAGAAAGTTGAAAGCCCAGTGTTTATTGCAACCTTCATTTCAGTTTGCTTCAAGAGAAACACAAACATGCCGGAACCTCTGGAGACCAAACCTAAATCTGCCTCAAATCCTCTTTAGCACAAACATTTTTTCACAAGTGTACACACACGCACACACACCCCTACGCACGCAGACACACACCATCGCTCACGCCTCTGCAGAACTCTATTTCTTTGAAAACAGGTAAAGAACACAAGACGTGTCTCCAAATGTCTTTCTTACGGCACAGGTAGTCACAGTATGTATTCATGTACACACATACATGCTTGTAAATGTGCACTATTCCCTGGCCAGCAATTTGATTAGATCCACAGCGGGGCTGTGGCGCTGTCACATTTACATTCAGATGGAGATTTAGTCTGTCGGCCGTCCCCTGCTGTTACTGGTGCAGTAATGTAGGCAGACATGGCTGACTGCCCAGTCCACTTATACACACACCTGGGGAAAAGTGCTCTATCCTTCCGACTCTCACACACGCCTGTCAGATTGCTCTCTCCAATGCTCTGCAGTGCTCAGTTTCTTACAAACAACTTAATCATCTTATCCTGGAGCTGAGAGGTAAAAATGATAAGTGATCTAGAAAGATCTAGAAACAGCATTAAATCCTTAGTACATATGACTCGGACATATGAAGGTGACGTGTCTTTACAGAGTCAAACAATACTAAATAGTTTCAGCTCAGAAATTACTGATACAAGACTGGCAGATAAACAAAATGAGGGTTAATCCTCAGACAGATTTTATTTGTAAGGTATGTTCTAGATTTTACTCAACAGCAAATAATCAAAATGGACAAAAATGGTTCTGCTGGAAAAAAACAATAAAAACATTTCTACTGTCATTTAGAGTTAAATAGAAAAATATTGCACATTAAAGAAAATTATAAAAATAAAACTGTAAGAGCTGATAATACTTCTCTCTTTTTTGGAGTTTAAATTCTTGCCAACAACATCTTCCAAATACTTTTCCTTCTGGATATTTCTGAAGTTACCTAAACTGTGTGCAGGTCTTCCTGTGTGGAGAAAGTGGAGAAGCAAAGCAGGCAGTAGCACACCTGGCTACCAAACTGGGCCTCACTGTTCTGGATAAAGGCTCTCTGTCAGCAGCTAGAGAGTTGGAGGACTTCCCCCTGAAATTGTTCCCGGAGTGGAGACTGCCTTTGTCCATAGCTGTTGGCCTCACTGCTTTCTTCTTCTTCTACCTGCTCATTAAAGATGTTATCTACGCTTATGTTAAAAAGAAAGATGATATCTCATATCGAATTATGTTGTCCCTGGCCAACAAGGTTATGAGTTGTCTTTGATATCAAGTCTTTTCTGGTATAATATATTTTTCTTTTCTTAACAGTGTTTTGTGAAATTGTGATCTAGGTGTTTCCAATTGTGGCTCTTGTTATGCTGTCTCTCTGTTACCTTCCTGGAGAGATTGCTGCTTTTTTTCAACTCTTCGGAGGGACCAAATACAGGTCGGATCATCACACAAATAACAATAAAATAATAAAAATGTATTGTTTTAACAATATGGTATATTGTAGAAATATAATGTTAAATTAAATCGCATTTGCCTTTGGTTTTTCTTTCTCCAGGCGTTTCCCTAACTGGCTGGACCGCTGGATGCTTTGCAGGAAGCAGATGGGTCTTGTTGCACTTGGCTATGCTTTTCTGCATGCCATCTATTCATTCATCATTCCTATTCGCTATTCTGAAAGGCACAAACTCATTTCAGGGGTGGTGGATGAGGTACAGCAAGCTGGTCCAAACCAGTTATAATGTTTTTAACAGTCAGGCACAAAGAATAACATGACATAAAACTTGCATTGATCATTTATTTCTTCCTTTGCCTCTTTTTTTCTTTCTCTCTTTCTCATATCAAGAAAAATAAAACCACCCCATTTTACTTTGATAACACTGGGGCGTGGGGCACAGACTCGTTTATATCTCTGGGAATCCTGGGATTTTTCCTTTTTGTCCTGTTAGGACTAACATCCTTGCCCTCTGTGGGCGGATCCCTCAGCTGGAGAGAATTCAACTTTATTCAGGTCAGAGCTCAGTTGGAAATGTGAATGCATGTGTGAGTGTACTTCACCTTTTTGAGTACGAACATCATCAGACAGGTGGAGTGAATCAATCAGCAGAAAAGATCTTTAAGCACCTTTGTAGAGGGTTATATTTTGAGTTTCCAACTTCTTTTACGATAGCAATTAAAATTCTTCAAAAGCAGTAGCTGGCTCTCGTTTCTCAGAGTGAAAGCCTGGTGGACTTTTGCCTGGGATTTTAAATGTTAAGTTATTCATTAAATAGAATTATGATACCTGGTGTAATTCCCAGCAGGAACATTGTTAATACAGGTCACAAGCCTATTTATGTAAAGGTCAAATCCATAAGTCGACACCAGAATGAGGCCCACAGAAAGACGCATAGGTCAAAATAATCCTTATGATCTGGCGAAAAGAGTTGTGAAAAAAATTACACTTGAGATGGCAATTTTCAACAAATATACATTAAAGATGTGGTTTGTGTGACTCGAAGGTTGTACGCATGTTGATGCACACATTGGAGGGATTTGGCGTTTCAAACAGATTAAGTGAGATATGCTCTGATCATCATTAAATCAATATTAATAATTTGTTTGTGCTGTCTGAGCTCATTGTAACTAAATGTGGATGTAAAATCATGCAGCCAAAAACTAAAACTCTGAATGGAAGCAGGTTGTCCAAGTAATTCACAAAATTAAGCTTCAAATTAGGCCAGGAGTGTCATTATGAAATTAATTAATGTGCATTTTCAGCCCCTCTTAGCACTTGATGATTCTATCAATAGAAAAAAACAAGTTTACATGCAACTATAAATTACTAGGAAAAATGACACTGAAATTATTTTTTTATTAAATGAAAGAGTCTGAAGCAAATTTATTTTTGCAAAATTGCTGTTAATCTATATGTAAAGCCATCTACATTTACAACTCATTATATTTGTTACACAGATGTTGCAGCAACACCCTGATAATGACATTTCTTCATCTCATCTTACACTCTCCTTGGCATGCTAAATGCTTGAAGTGGCTGACACTGCAACAGAGTCTGGCCTCTTTTCTTATTTATGCAGCTGATAACTGTCTGACCACTGGGAGGCACTCATACTCTTTGTAGAACATGTCATAATAATGATTAAACACATTTTAGATACACCAATATGCATGGAAAACTCAACTTTGACACAAGCTTCACTATGGATTACTGAATTACTGAATGGAAAATATAAATAATGCACAATTATAAACAATGATAAAGGTGCCCCTTCATTTTACCAAAGATTGATCTTCATGCTCTCTGTTTTTGAAAAGGCAAAATATATTTTTCAAGAATAGATTTTTGTTTAATTAAATTAAATCATCTGTGACACAATTTCTTAACTTGCCAATTATTTTTGGCCTATTATAATATATATTTTTAATGGGTCAATCTGTTACTATTTCATCTTCAGGGTAGAACAAGTTGTGCAGAAGACACTGTGTCATATACTGTTGTATCCAATGGTCGTCTAATCATCTTGGCCTCAAATTTAACAGTGTTGTGCTAATCTTATGATTGTCCCCCATTGGTTAAACAATTATTTGCTTACACTCTCGTTGCTTAACTCCTTGAGTCAAACAAAAACAATGTCAGATTTCCCTCCCACTGCAGTTGTTTTCAGCATGGTGAAGTGAGTGAATCTTCATCAGTGTGGACAGAGCATGCCTTAAAATTAGATTAGAAAGGGTTATTACTGGGTTATTGCTGCATTTGTGGAGCACTTCAGTATTTCTTCTGCAGCACTGGTACATATGTAAAGTATATATAAACAGTAAATAGAATGAAGTAGATATGGAATCTTTAAGTTGTGACACTAATGCTATGGAGTCTTTTGAGATGTAGAAATAATTGGTGCAAGATTGGCAATAGTGTGCTGTAAACATTTGAATGGCTAAATATTAAATGATGATCTAAGGGACAGTTTCAGGTTATACACATACTTTTAACAGACATGCAGCTGGTATAATAAATGCAGACAAGAAACACATGAACCTTAGTAAATTTTAGAATGTGACAAATATATTTTTCTTGAATTGAGGAAATGAGTGAGAAAACGCAACTTTGCAAAAACATAAAAAACAAATCTGACATTTTAAAAAATAAATTGTCTAGAATTGCAAGAAGAACATTTCTTTTTTTCATTCTGGGCTTCTAAATCAAATCAAATCAAATTTTATTTGTATAGCACATTTCAGCAGCAAGGCATTTCAATTGAGCCATAAATCTATAAGTTATAATGTTTTCATCAAAAGCAGACTGTTGTAGAAGTAAAACCACTGTAAAAATAACCAGAAAATGAGAAATAGTGATGTTAAAAAGCTTTGTATTTTATGGTGTAGATTTTTGTATATATTTCTAACACAAGATCTTTATAAATCCCAAGAGTAACTTTTGAGTTGAGCAAAAAATTCCACATACCTTGTAACACATACGACTCCAATTTTTTAAAGTCTTAGTATAAGCACTTAATGTAGTCTAACAGCGGGATAATCTAGAGTTGGGAAAAAAACATGGAGGAGTCTGATTTGAGAAGCAGCCCCGAGGAAAAATTCATGTTTGATATTTATGTGATGGTCATTAGGATAACTTATGGAGATATTTTTTTATTTTAGATCAATTAAATATTTGTGACTTGTTGCTCAGGAAAAACATATTTTAGAAAAAACTTGCCAGAAAATATCACAAAATGGAATTAATTACGTTAAATTAATAGAGATTACGTTGAATAGGGATAAAAAAACAACTCTTTTAAGTTTTCCAATAGTCATTGTAGCTAAAGCAAAGTATGTGAAAATGTTTTTTTTTTTTTTCTGATTAAAGTGTTATCTTTCTTTAATCATAATACATTGAATTTTAAAAGTATGGTAATTGTAGATATTTTGTAGACCTGTTTCGTATTAACCTTAATGTGAAGTTCATTTCAAGCCATTTAGTTAGATAAAAACATGACTTTTATTACCTTTAAACTCCAGCTTCATACATGTAACCTTACACTTTTGATTGTTGTGGTCTCTCTGTCATCATGTTAGTGAAAACATGTCTATTCTGAAATGTCCAACTCGTCTTGCAATGTTTTAAGTAAAGCCTTTATTTGTGCTATTTTTCAGTCTAATCTAGGACATCTCACTCTGTTCATTTGCACGGCTCACGGCTACATCTATGGCTGGAATAAATTTATCAAAGCCTCAACCTACAAATGGTACACGCCTCCAGGCTACATGCTCTGTCTGATCGTACCTTCTGTGGTGTTGCTGCTCAAGTTACTTCTTCTCCTTCGAGAAGACAAGGCTGGGAACGCAGATGGGTGCAATAAAAACCACCTGTCTCTGAACTTTGCTCTCAAAAGGCAGAGTATGCAATCTATTAATTCACGTCTTAAATTAGCCACATACACTCATTGCTGGAAAATGTTTCAATGTGTGAAGAGTGATATGTTTTATGTGATAACAAGTAATAAATTACCATAGTAAGATGTTAAACAAAAAAAAAACAAATTTGGCAATTTTCACTTTCTTGGGGACTGTATCTTTCATCCACTTTAGAAAAAAAGGTATCACAAACAAAGTAGGTAATGGTATCACGAACAAGCAGAACTGTTAGTTTTCTGTTCTACTTTAAGCATTCTTTTCTAAGAAAGTTTATAAATATTTATATTCATATCCAACGTCAGATTTTTTACCGTATTTTCCAGACTATATGTTGCTCCGGAGTATAAGTAGCACCAGCCATAAAATGCATAATAAAGAACAACGAATTGAGAACGTGCCTGGTATGTTAACATAACATATTAAGAGTTAACTATAGCAAAAATAACATGCTAACAAGTTTACCAAACCATCTTTCCAAATCACTAAACCAATGAAATCTTCGTCCTCAATGTCGCTTGCATACAACTCTGTTAACTCCTAAAGTAGAATAACACACACTAAACCGCAAGAGCGCCCTCTTGCGGTTTAGTGTGAAAATATCATGTGATATGATATAATGATGTGTTAATTTTCACTCATAAGTCACTCCGGAGTATAAGTCGCACCCCTGGCCAAACTATAAAAAAACTGTAACTTATAGTCTGGAAAATACGGTAGTAGTTAATATGGGGAAGGTTATTGATCAGCTGCTCTGATTAGATAACATTGAGGCAAATAGAGTTGTGACTTTTGCATCTGTTATGGAGTTTGCCTTTACTTCTTTCTCTTTCAACGTCTTCTATCTGCTTACACTCACATGCTGCAGCTTCCATAACCATGTTTAAGTGTGACTGCTGCCAGTCATATGTAAACAGACTGAAACTGATTAGACTACTCTTCAGGGAGGGTACAGATTGCAGAGAAAAATAAACGGCAAACTTGCGCTTCAATCTTGGCCTCACTTGGTCGCATCCCTAAGATCTGCTAAGTGTGGCCCAACGCTGGACAGTGAATGTAACTCTGTATCTGTTCCATTTGTATGACATCAATGGCTTGTAACATTTGATAATTCTATTTGGCATTGCAGCTTGTTTTTATATAGAACCAAATCTAATTATTTCTTAAGGTAATTTACACTGCAGGGTTCTGGTTGGGTCCTAAAATTGGTTAACAAACCTGGTGGAGCACAGAGACAAAAATGAATGAACTCCAACACATCCGAGGTGTGGGAGAAAAACACCTTTTTTTGTTTGTTACCTGGATGGTTACCTGCCTCGTCACAAGAGCAGAGGTCTGTCTGATGAAGGAGAGGAAAGAAGACATGATCCTTGCAGTGGCTTTGTCTACCTACATTTTGAGCTGACTGCAGTGGTGTCCAAAGACGATCCTCGAGGGTTGGCATCATGCATGTTCAGTAGAAGTAGTGGGGCACGACGTGTGTGTTGTAGAGGAGGAGAAGCCTTGGGACCAAATAAATGAAAGATTAGCAACTGATAAAAAAGTACAACATGGCTTGTAAACAAAAGTTGGTCCAAGTCTAATGACTCAGAGGTAGAAGAGGAAAGGCAGGAACAAAGAGTATTTGTTGTTAAGGGTACAAAATCTGGAATAAGAAGAATTTTTCCTTTTCATTTATGCCCACAGCGTCCCTTTTACTCAGTTATCTTGTTATCATGCATCTAGAAAATATTATCATAGCACACAATCTGTCACACCCTCTCGCATTGTTATGTTCTCTCATTACCGAGGAAACTTCTGTTGATATTGGCCTACTTCCTGGTGTCAGAAAGCTATCTGCTTTGTTTGTGTATGGGTGTGCATGTGTGTGTCAGTGCCTTAGATAAAGTTCTTCTAATATGTCCTTGGGAAAGAATTACAATGTGGCGACATGCAGAAACACTGTGAAACAAGCTCACATTATTGTTATCTGTTTCAGTTTATAAGCCTGACAAATTCATAAAACCTTCAAGGACCATTAATGTTCAGCTCTGTATGAATATAAACAGCTTGGACAACATTGAGTGAAGGGCTCTCCCAATATATGTCTGTGAAATATGAAACTATATGTTGAATAAAGTGTCAAAGGCAAAAGTCACAGTTTTGTAACATTATTTTGGAGATTTTTTTGATGAAACCACTTCTTACATAATTTTTATTTTTAAAAAAAATCAGCACTTTTTTTTCAATCAAAATTTAAATAAAAGTAGAAAATATGCAAGATATTTTGAAAGAACAAATAGCTAACCTTAGTATTTAGAAAAAAGGCTCAGCAGTGCATTTTCAGTGCTTTCAGTTTATGGTAGGATTTAATGCATTATGGCCTAGAATGTCATTGTATGCAAACTGAATCTCAAATAAGTGCTTCTTGGTGTCTGCTGAAATAGACCTACAGTAGTCTCAATCTCAGTCAGCTGAGACAGAAGTTGCCCCCCATTACATCAGGAAGCTGTTTCGTGATCACAAGGGGTTTTTTCAGAGTTCCCAGGCAGCACAGGGTGCTTAATTGATTCAACGGGAATGTCAAAAGAGAGGTGTGTGAGGTGAGAAGTGTTACTGCTGCAGCCCCTCTCTGGGCAGCCTAATTTATCGTGAAGGTCCCTTGGAACTTGCAAGTAGGCTACACTGTTGCCAGAGCAGTTTGTGCAAGGTTACACATCCAACACTGAAGAGTCCAGTCCGTTCAGAAATGCATTATTTTAAATAACTGCCATAACCCTCAATGAATTACAATATGTGTTCTGAGGTGATGTGTTTGTCAGACTGAAAGCACCTTTTAAACATATCTGAATTGAGCTATTAAAATACATTTTAAATAATATTCTAATTTATTAGTCCAACATGGTTGGGCTGGTAGCAACCGTAAGAATCTAGATAATTAAAAAAAAAAAACATTGCACTTTTCTTTTCAGGCATTTACAGCTTAGGCAAACATGGCTCTACAATGAAGGTTACAGACTTGAGTTTTCAGACGTGTATTATGACTGAAGAAGATCAGATCACTGATCCTGGGGCCTTTGGTTTAATCCGTCTTTATAAAAATATATCCATCCATCCATCCATCCATCCATCCATCCATCCATCCATCCATCCATCCATCCAGCCAGCCAGCCAGCCAGCCAGCCAGCCAGCCAGCCAGCCAGCCAGCCATCCAGCCATCCATCATCCATCCATCCATCCATCCATCCATCCATCCAGCCAGCCAGCCAGCCAGCCAGCCAGCCAGCCAGCCAGCCAGCCAGCCAGCCAGCCAGCCATCTATACCTGCTTACCCTGGGAGTAAGCAGATGGGGCTGGTGTCCATATCCTTCTATCACTGGGCAAGAAGCAGGTAATGTCCCTCAGACAGGTTTCCAGTCCATCATATTGGATATTGTTGGATTACCACAGTTTTGAGCGAAGGAGCTTCCAGTGCTGCAGTGGAGGCTCTGATGAACTGTCAAACATAGATTCAGAGATTGGAGAGTTTGTATCCACGGGAACTGGGCTGGAGACAGAGAGAGTGTCTGATCAAACTTGTGGAAGAACTTCTTCAGATTATTTATCCATCCTAAATATCAGCCTGGGAGTTTGTTTATAACCTGAAATTATTTTCAGGCTCTACCAAACTCTAAACGTTTCTCTGGTGCAGCAACGCACATCACAATGAAGAGATGGTTTGCAGAGTCTAAAAAAGCTCTGATAATAACGGCCGCCTGTTCTCAATCTAATTTCAGCCGTTTCAGAAATCTTCTTGGGCATTTTCTTTGCTTGATGCATGCCTGAAATAGATTAATACATTTTCTACAACCACAGAATGTGTCTTTCAACACAGTTATTTATGAACTGATACTTGGTGCATCAGTTAAAGTAAAAAAAATCTCAGTGCCAGCTTAAGCAATTACAGGAGGCCCTTACTTGTTTTTTTCACTTTCTTTTGGCAGGTGGTGTCGAACATCAAGGCAGATTCTCTTAAGATCCAAATTGACTGTTTTCATCAAAACGTTTTTTTTTTTTTTTTTTCTACTTTTGTGCCTCTAGTGACCTTCATTTGAAACCAGGCCTTTACTGTCAAATAGTGGCCAAATTGATGGGGAATACACATTGCAAAAGTCAAAGGGAGAGACTCAGGTCTCTCTTTTTACATGGGTCACGTGTTTTACCCCTACACCACTGCCACAAAACTCAAAACTTGTTGTTTGTCTTTTCCAATAGATCATGTGTTTTTCTCCATGTAATTAAATATGAACTGTGATAACTGCAGCCAGTTATCAAGTTTTTTTGTGTTTTTTTTTTTCAATTTATAAAGGACACTTAGATATATATATATTGGAATATCAGTGTGAAATAATTTTGAAACTCTATGCTTCTCTTTTGGTATTTTAGAACGATGAGCACCGTTTCTTTATTCTGTAATAGTTTGCTCGCTATTACATCCAAACCATACATTTCCCATCAAAGAACTGCTCTATAGGTCAAGGTAAATGTCCCATACAAAGCAAACTTAATGACATGTCTTCTGTTTAAGCCATTTTCCTGACAAAGAGGTTGTTGGAATCAGGAATTTTGAGGTCTTCACATGCAAAGCACGTTGTCTACTGCTGAGATAAATCTCTTGCTCACTTCATTTTAGCATCTCATTAGGCCCTTGTGAGGAAAATCTTGTCATAATTACCATGTAAAGTCTTGAATAGCCCAGAAACCTGTCAGCAAATTTGACTTTTGACCAGCAATTCTAATCAGCTCATCTGTGAGCAAGAGTGAACAAGATTTAAAGAAATTCCCTCTGGGTATTTTGTGAAAGTGTATTTTTCAATGATACACAAAATGGCAGACAAATGCATTGACAAATGTATAGCAGAATATCACAATGCCTTCAATCGTGACTGTGTTTGGCACAAACAAAAAAAAATACACTCTTTTTTAAATGTTGAGATGAAAAGAGCAAACATTTCTAATGCATGTATTAAAGATGAGCTATGTGTTGAGAGGTTCTTCTGTGTCCTTCTCCACACAGTGGTTAAACTGTGATCATTCAGTACTCCCACTCATACTAGCGAGGACATTGACCTTCTGAGGATCCAACTGATCCCATCTTCTTTAACTGCATGAGTTTGTTGTTAATGTAGTTCCACTCAATGTGTCTTTCACAAAGCTTAATGTTACCAAGCCTTGGGTGAAACCAGACTTGTCAAATTTTTAAAACATCAACTTGACAGTTTTAACAATAGAATAAATAAGAAAAATGCAAGAAAATCTAAATGATGTTTTGCACAAAATGAAACAAAAAACTGGGAAGGGCAAAGTTAAACTTGTGTTATGGTCGCTTCAGCTATACTGTATTTTTTCAGTATGAAAAGGGAAAATTATTACTGTGCCCTTTGTTCTTGAGGAGATCAGTACCATGCAGCCAATTACATGTATCAATGTGTACATGGTTTTACCTCATCCATGACTCCAGAAGTATGGTTGTTTAATCTAGTCTAATCTTGTTTAATCAAATAATTAAATATCCAGCAACCATAAGGAAGAGTGCAAGCACTGTCAGGACTCTCTTCTTTAAGTGGACTTTGATTATCTGAAGATACCATGAGAACAGTAAAAGGTGAGTGAATATATTCAGCAAACCTACATATTCACTATTATAATTTAAATTGAGCTTGTCCATAACAACAGATGAAATTATACAGCATGATGTCTGTAAATACTTTTATTAGACTGATCCATAGGTAGAATTTGATGATGAACTTGTAATTAACCTTTAAGTATTTAAATTCTTAATTATCATTAAAGTGTTTTTATTTATTTATTTAGTTTTCAGTGACATTTTTTTTTCTGGAAGAAAGAAATAAACTGACAATTCTTAATTTTTTATTTTAGAATATTTAAAATAGAAATGATCAGATTTTTGAACACCTGTCTTGAAAGTAGCTATTATTACCAAACAAATACATAAACTTATAATAAAATACTATATTCAATTACAAATTGAACCCAAAATATTTTTTTTGTAAAATATTCAGCATTGAATTTGGAATGAAATTTAAAAGACATTACTAAAGATTTTAACATGTGACAAAATGATTAGTCCAATGATTTATCATGTTGAAATATAAAGAATATTGTAATTTTTGATCATAACGTACAACATACCAATTATTGTGTGCTACATTAATTTATAGAAAGGATGATTTACTGACAAGCATTCTGTTTATTCTCGATCAGCACCCTTCCTAGAATCTGGAATTCCAGTGAATTCCAGTTCAACACATTTCCTGGTGCATAACCAAACCCCTTCGCATATTTCCAGATCTCACAGGGTGAAAGCTTGTGATCCCACATATGGAGATCTGACATCATGCCGACAAATGATTGTTTGACATCAAAACCACCACCGTGTGAATCTTGTTCCTGTAAGCAGAGAAAAGACACAATAATGAAACTCACAAGAATCTACTACCTTCCAAGCTGCAACAGTGGATATTGTATAAACATTTTGGGGTCATTTATGGTGATGCAGAGGTTTAATTAAACATACATCTCAATACTTTGTATGCTGACTAAAATAGAATAAGGAATAGATGCATCCATGATTATTAGACTACATAAACAGGAAATAACTTTGATTTAATCAGAAACTTGGTTCAATTTGGGATATTTTTCATATGTATCAATATTTCTGCATTTACAGTGTTTAAAACACACCTGTCCTAAAGCAATTATAATTGGTCCATTGATACTGGATCCAGAGCTGGTAAATTTCCTGCTTGAAGGCTTTCCATCCACCCACATTTGCACCAAACCAGACACAGCGTCCCAGGTTCCACAAACTGATTGCCACTGGTTCAGCTTGAGGTCCAGTCCTTCAAAAGTTGCGATTGTGTTTCTTACATACATTTGAAAAGAATCTAACTTGGCCAAATTGTAAAACAAAAAGGCATTATCGTGAGAGGGTAGAGCCAATGAGAAAAGGGCGTGATCTCTTTTGAGGTCTGTAAAGAACCTGTATTGAAGCAAAAGACATGAAGAATTTTGTTTTAGTTTTATACATTCATACACTCTGGAGATTGCTTTATTTGTTTTAACAAATTCTAAACATCAATATCAATATGTACCTGAAACAGACAGTCACAACATTGAAATTTTGTCTTGATGTTGTCAACCTAACATGTGCTGTGTTGGTTTCTTGTGGGAAGGTGAATATCTTCTCTGAAAGATCTTTAAAGCAAAGGAGTGATTAAAGAAATTTAAATTCAAAAAATAAAAAGCCTTTAAAGTTATTTATAGTTCATGTTAAACCATTGTCCACTTGGAAACTGGGATCTAATATCATAGCTGAACTTACAAGAATTATTATGTTAAACTAAGTGATTTCAACTTGTTCATAACATTTTTTTACATTTGATTTATTTTTTATTTTATTTTAGATAAACTAACTTGTGTGAGTCGCAATGAAAGTTATAAAGCAGCTTAAACCTTTGAACTGGAACGAGATGGTTGACTTTTTCTCATCACAATAAATGATTCAAAGATTAAAAACGCTGAAAACATATATTTGGATATTTCTTTTTTGTTTTGTTTTGTTTTTGTTTTTTGCATAAAACAATATTTTTACCATAACACATAAAACTGTGATTCCAATAACTGGATTATATCAAAACTGCTTTGTCAAGATCTGCCTTCTTGTTGACATGATGTGAAAATACAAAGAAAAAAAAAACTTTATGTAACATAGTTAAAGTCACTTCACAATCCTAATTTGCTTAACTCTTAAGTTAAAAAGCAAAGCACAACTTTGATATTGTTGAATATTATTTTACAGTGTTTGAAGAACTGAGTGTAAAATGTCATTTATGCATCCAGTGGTAAATGATCATATGTGATTATTCCCATTAACTAATGAGTTAAGTTTAACACTTAAACTCACGTGACATCAGAGTACACTGCAATAAAGTCAGGACAGTCAACCTTTCTGCTTCTGCAACTTATCCAGCATTTTATTACAGTCGAAGCACAACATGATTTAATTATTTTAAGTTTATTACCAATCCAAACTAACTAAAGTCCAAACCAGGCACTAGCACCGGTGAGACGGAAAACACTCCTGTGAGTGTTTTCATATTTTATTTCAGGGTTGTAAAAAGATATATACTCCTGGCTTGAATGGTCAAGTCAACCAGCTAGCAGACCTACATGTTTGCTACTGGTAAATCTGAAACATAAAACCTAAATGTTGTTAATTGAAAAGATGGTAACAAAATTTTACCAACAATTTTTTACAAATGTATTTTCCTGCTATCAGGAATAAAGATAAGTAATTAGAACAACTACTGCACTTGCTATCATATAAACCTTTAATCTATATTCTTATATTGTTAAAAATGCAATAATTGTTTTTTCTTACTTTGAGGAACGGCAGCACATGATGCCACCAGCAGTAGCAAGAGCAGCATCTGATACAAAAAACAACAAAATAATAATAATAAAAAAACACAATACATGTCACAAATAATTAACAGTGACGATACTCTCAATAACTTGCAGAAAATAATGACTTATTCAAGCTTTTCACTATCCATAGTTGTAGTGAATCCTTAGTCCTTTTTCTATGTTAGATTTTAAATAAAAACTGTCTCACTATGTAAAGTTTGGCATATCTTACCTTGGATCCTTGGGTGTTTATTCTGGATGTTGTGTGTAAAACTATTGGATTGTCACTTTTATACTGTAGATGGTGGTAGAAAATCGTATTTTATTGGTTTCTGTGGTGTTCCTGCCCATCTGATCTACCTTCTATGTAAATTAGTGGCAGATAAAGAATACCATTGAATTTATTTAAAAGACCTTATAAACAACATCAATTGAATTAAATAGCCTTTTAAAGACGGTTGCCAATGGAATTACATGTCAAATTTCTCGTATGACTGAATATTTCAGTTTGGATATTTTAACTCTTCTTTTTTTGGTCTTATTTTTTCATCCATTTCACTTATCTAAGTTAATAAGTTGCTGAGTTATCTTTTTACAGTTAAATGAAAGGGATGTAATAATTACTTTCTTGTTTTGTTGTGATGCTTTATCAATTTGGACTTTCACCTGTTTTTTCCTTTTAATGATTTCTTATTTTCATTATGTTTCCTTATTGTAGTTTATTCCCTCTGTTGGTTCAGTTTCTAGGTTCAAGGTCACAGTTCTAACAACTGTGCATTTGTTCAGCTCACCATGTTTTACCCACTGATAGAAAATATATTTTTAGTTCTTCCTTATCAGTATTATTATTCCTAATATTTTTAAAAAATATTAGGAATATATTTTTAAATACAAAATTTCTCAACTTTATTCTGTAGTACTGATGTATACACCTTTTCCAGTCTGTCTAAATTAAGTATTAAAGGTATCTTAACCTTTAGGTATTTAATCCTAAGCTGTGCCGTCATTTAAGTGTTTACTAAGAAAAATGCAAGAAAATCTAAATGATGTTTTGCACAAAATGAAACGAAAAACTGGGAAGGGCAAAAGTTAAACTTGTGTTATGGTCGCTTCAGCTATACTGTATTTTTTCAGTATGAAAAGGGAAAATTATTACTGTGCCCTTTGTTCTTAAGGAGATCAGAACCATGCAGCCAATTACATGTATCAATGTGTACATGGTTTTACCTCATCCATGACTCCAGAAGTAGGGTTGTTTAATCTAGTTTGTCACAAATAATTAAATAACCAGCAACCATAAGGAAGAGCGCAAGCACTGTCAGGACTCTCTTCTTTAAGTGGACTTTGATTATCTGAAGATACCATGAGAACAGTAAAAGGTGAGTGAATATATTCAGCAAACCTACATATCCACTATTATAATTTAAATTGAGCTTGTCCATAACAACAGATGAAATTATACAGCAAACATATGATGGCTGTAAATACTTTTATTAGACTGATACATATGTATTTAAACTGTAGATCATCACACTGTGTAAATCAAAAAAAGCTTTTTGGTTATCTCCTGAAAAAAAAAAAAAAACAATTGTAGGAAGATAACAACTCTGTTTGCCTCACTAGACATTTAAGCAAAGAGTAAAATTAATAGACAGTAATTTTACTTAATATTCTAAAATGATTTGCATACACAAGATTATTTACTCACTATGACATATCAAATGGTTGAAATGGGAGATTCGATGATGAACTTGTAATTAACCTTTAGGTATTTAAATTATTAATTACCATTAAAGTGTTTTTATTTTAGTTTTCAGGGACATTTTTTCTGGAAGAAAGAAATAAACTGACAATTCTTAATTGTTTATTTTAGGATTTTTAAAATAAAAATAATCAGATTTGTCGTGAAAGTAGCTATTAGAACCAAACAAATATAAAATTTAAAAGACATTACTAAAGATTTTGACATGTGACAAAAATGATTAGTCCAATGAATTAAACATATTTATCATGTTGAAATATAAAGAATATAGTAATTTTTGATCATAACGTACAACATACCAATTATTGTGTGCTATATAAATTTGTAGAAAGGATAATTTACTGTCAAGCATTCTCGATCAGCACCCTTCCTTGAATCTGGAATTCCAGTGAATTCCAGTTCAACACATTTCCTGGTGCATAACCAAACCCCTTCGCATATTTCCAGATCTCATAGGGTGAAAGCTTGTGATCCCACATATGAAGGTCTGACATCATGCCGACAAATGATTGTTTGGCATCAAAACCACCACCGTATGCATCTTGATCCTGTAAGCAGAGAATAGACACAATAATGAAACTCACAAACGTCTACTACCTTCCAAGCTGCAACAGTGGATATTGTATAAACATTTTGGGGTCATTTATGGTGATGCAGAGGTTTAATTAGACATACATCTCAATACTTTGTATGCTGACTAAAGTAGGATGAGGAATAGATGCATCCATCATTATTAGACTACATAAACAGGAAATATTTGACAGCTTAAAAATCTTAAAATGAAACTAATAAGAATAGATTAAAGATAATATGTAATCTAAAATATTATAGTAGCGATTTTGAACTAGCAATAAATCCACTGTTGGGTGAATAGGTTGAAGTATTGCTACAAATCTCCAATAAGACATGATGAGCCCCAGTTGTGGTTTTGTATTTATTTTAAAACTTTGAGTCAATAAAAGCAAATACATAGTATGTATATATAGTATAATGTTTGAATGCAAGCACCATAAATAACTTAGGATGTTTTGGGGAACATATTTCTATCATAGTTATATGAGCTAGTTCTTATTCCTGCAATAGAAATAGGAATGACAAGAAATGCTCCTTTAGAAATTATCCTGGTTTTGGAAAATGTTCCTGCTGTTAAAATGAACCTTTATATGCCGACTTGTAAACATATTGTGTGTCCGAATTCTAAATCCTAAAACACAATTTATTAAGTGGGGCAGATTATTTCAGGCTTGTCTTTGCCTATTATTTCAGTTATTACATCTATATATAGTTAAAATATATGGAGAGGGAAGAAAACATAATTTTTTAGACTGAAACTGTTTTTCCCAGAGCTTGTTTCCATAAATTTCTGCTTAGCAGTTTTGCACACAGCCACCCTCAAGCTCTTAGTAGAAAGGTTAGTTTAAGCTAAGCCAGCACCAGTTTTAATATGTGGCTAACTTTGATTTAATCATAAACTTGATACAATTTTAGATATTTTTCATAAAGTATCAATATTTCTGCATTTACAGTGTTTAAAACACACCTGTCCAAAAACAATTATCATTGGTCCACTGATATCAGATCCAGAGCTGGTAAATTTCCTGCTTGAAGGCTTTCCATCCACCCACATTTGCACCAAACCAGACACAGCATCCCAGGCTCCACAAACTGATTGCCACTGGTTCAGCTTGAGGTCCAGTCCTTCAAACTTTGCGATTGTGTTCCTTACAGACATTTCAAAAGAATCTAACTTGGCCATATTGTAAAACAAAAAGCCATTATCGTGAGAGGGTACAGACAACGAGAAAAGGGCGTGATCTCTTTTGAGGTCTGTAAAGAACCTGTATTGAAGCAAAAGACATGAAGAATTTTGTTTTAGTTTTATACATTCATACACTCTGGAGATTGCTTTATTTATTTTAACAAATTCTAAACATCAATATCAATATTTACCTGAAACAGACAGTCACAGCATTGAAATTTTGACTTGATGTTGTCAAACTAACATGTGCTGTGTCGGTTTCTTGCGGGAAGGTGAACATCTTCCCTGAAAGATCTTTAAAACAAAGAAGTATTTAAAGAAATTTAAATTCAAAACATCAAAAAGCCTTTAAAGTTATTTATAGTTCATGTTAAACCATTGTCCACTTGGAAACTGGGATCCAATCTCATAGCTGAACTTACAAGAACTATTATGTTAAACCAAGTGATTTCAACTTGTTTATAGACTTTTTTTTTTTTTTACATTTGATTTATTTATTTTTTTTTATTTTAGATAAACTAACTTGGATGAGTCACACTGAAAGTTATAAAGCAGCTTAAACCTTTGATCTGGAATGAGATGGTTGACTTTTTCTCATCACAATAAATGATTCAAAGATTAAAAACGCTGAAAACATATACCTATTTGGATATTTCTTTTTGTTTTGTTTTGTTTTTGTTTTTTGCATAAAACAATATTTTTACCATAACACATAAAACTGTGATTCCAATAACTGGATTATATCAAAACTGCTTTGTCAAGATCTGCCTTCTTGTTGACATGATGTGAAAATACAAAGAAAAAAAAAACTTTATGTAACATAGTTAAAGTCACTTCACAATCCTAATTTGCTTAACTCTAAAATTAAAAAGCAAAGCACAACTTTGATATTGTTGAACATTATTTTACAGTGTTTGAAGAACTGAGTGCAAAATGTCATTTATGCATCCAGTGGTAAATAATCAGATGTGATTATTCCCATTAACTAATGAGTTAAGTTTAACACTTAAACTCACGTGACATCAGAGTACACTGCAATAAAGTCAGGACAGTCAACCTTTCTGCTTCTGCAACTTATCCAGCATTTTATTACAGTCGAAGCACAACATGATTTAATTATTTTATGTTTATTACCAATCCAAACTAACCAAAGTCCAAACCAGGCACTAGCACCAGTGAGACGGAAAACACTCCTGTGAGTGTTTTCATATTTTATTTCAGGGTTGTAAAAAGATATATACTCCTGGCTTGAATGGTCAAGTCAACCAGCTAGCAGACCTACATGTTTGCTACTGGTAAATCTGAAACATAAAACCTAAATGTTGTTAATTGAAAAGATAGTAAAATTTTACCAACAATTTTTTACAAATGTATTTTCCTGCTATCAGGCATAAAGATAAGTAATTAGAACAACTACTGCACTTGCTATCATATAAACCTTTAATCTATATTCTTATATTGTTAAAAATGCAATAATTGTTTTTTTCTTACTTTGAGGAACGGCAGCACATGATGCCACCAGCAGTAGCAAGAGCAGCATCTGATACAAAAAACAACAAAATAATAATAATAAAAAAACACAATACATGTCACAAAGAATTAACAGTGATGATACTCTCAATAACTTGCAGAAAATAATGACTTATTCAAGCTTTACACTATCCATAGTTGTCATGAATCCTTAGTCCTTTTTCTATGTTAGATTTTAAATAAAAACTGTCTCACTATGTAAAATTTGGCATATCTTACCTTGGATCCTTGAGTGTTTATTCTGGATGTTGTGTGTAAAACTATTGGATTGTCACTTTTATACTGTAGATGGTGGTAGAAAATCGTATTTTATTGGTTTCTGTGGTGTTCCTGCCCATCTGATCTACCTTCTATGTAAATTAGAAGTTTGGACTTTCTCTGAGAAGGCCAACCTTCCACAAGGTTGAGCTTTTAACTTTGTAAAAGATCAAATAGAGGACACAATGGTATCGGCACAACTTTCTGTTACTGAAACTTGTGCAGTTTCAATAAAAGATGGACCTTAACAATATATGCACGGAGAAAGTTTTGTTTTCTAAATATGATGTAAACCATTCCAAAACTGCATCTGTCATTCCAACACAGTGTAAATAAGAGAATCTCATGATCTACTGTAACTAACTATAAATCATCACACTGTGTAAACCAAAAACAGTTTTTTGGTTATCTCCTGAAAAAATAAAATAAATATATCCTATTCTATGTAAATTGTATTGTTAGATAAAAAAAAACACCCCCCCAAAAAAAAAAAACTGTCATTGAAAGCATGTTGCTTAAGAACTATTTAAAACTATTTATTTTATAGACATTGACAAACAAGTCCTTTTAAGTTGGGCTGCAATAAAGACTTTAAATATTTTCAAACTTTACTTGCATGACTGTACCAAGATAACAGCTCTTTATCTCCTCAACAGACAATAATTGTATTAAATAATGATGATATGCATACACACAAATATTTACTCAATATCAAATGGTTGAAGTGGGGGATTTAATGGTGAACTTCGCACTGAGTAATTCAGCTGATAATTACTTAGTGGCATTCATAATATAATTAACAGTAAGGGAATGTGTTTTTGAAACCACGATGGTCCAGCAATGAAGTATGGCAAAGGAACGGTCGTGACTTCACACCAAAGATAACGTTCTCTGCCCTAGTCTGTCTTTAGAGAAATACGCATTGAATTTTTAATTAATTTGTTCATTTTTTTAAAATTGGAACAAAAATAAGATTACTTTAAGTAGTAGTAGTATAATAAAAGATTTTGACAATTTTGTGGCACTTGTGGCCTTTTTTTTTAAGCAATCAAAGAGGAAACACAAAAAGAGCAGGTGAATATTTGCATTTGAGGTCCTTACATCTTGAATCACTGCGACGGACTGGCGTCCTGTCAGGGTGTACCCCACCTCGAGCCTGAAATGTCTCGCTGCAGAAAGGCACCAGCACCGTTCTCGATCCCATTAGGGACAAGGGTGTATCAGCCTCCTCATACTGGATCCAGACTCTACCAACAGGACTATGCATTGTCCCTGCCATTAGTTCAAAATTAAGTGACCAAATACTACAACAAATATGACTATTAAGCAATACATTCTAGACCAATTAAACAAATGGGTAATGGAGACATACATTTTTCTAAGGAATTAAAAAATACAAAATGAAAATCAGACACATTTTCATTTCACTGTTAATTTTGTAATGTTTAATTTAATGATTGTTCATTTTTATGTGCTTGACCAAATCACTCATTTATTTTCAGATTTTGGAAAATGTTTTCTCTAACTCGTCTGCATCAGGTATATTAGCTTTTGAAACATTGTGACTATCAGTAAATATTCACTTTTTCAAAACTTTGCTTAAATTTCGTAACAATCAAAGTCCATAGTGTTTGTAGACTTTGGTGCTTACCATGTTTACATTTGTTAAATATTTGCTCACAAGTTCACCCATTACATTAGTTAAAGCAATAACAGCAATGTTGTTAAATTAATATCTTTGGAACAAGAACTCTGTGTAATATGGTGAACAATCATTAGACAGACATATTAGAAATGTGTTTAGTATTTGCCTAAAGTAAAATATTCCTGCATCACAAATGCACTTGCATGAAAACTAAAAAATCTAAATATTTCCATTGCCAATTTTGTTTTACAAAGACTTTTTTTTTTACCATGAAACACCAACATTAATTTATCAAGCAATTAATGTCTTAGTTTCACCTGCTGTGAATGGATAAACACTCACAGTATATAGCCAGTTACATATCTATAAGTCTGTGTTTGTGTGCAGAAGCACAAATACAGACTTATTTGTCTGGATTGTTGTGATGCCAGTTTTGTGACCTATATATGTTTGACCAACTCAGTTTACTAAATTCATCCAGCTCAATATGTGATGATCATCCAACTCAATTCATAATCTTCATACAACTCAATTTGCTAAGTTTATCACTCACATTGTACTTAAGGCACAGCTTTATACATACGTTTTATAATGTTATTTTAGTTTTTAAAAAAGATCCTGTACCCTGAAAAATTACTATAGTGGAACCAACTTAATTGGATTGCTTCAATTGGTAACAAATAATTCAATACAATTAAACCAACTTAATAAATTACGTTCCAAACAGCAGAAATCTTGTTATTATACATGCAAATAAATCCAGGGTGTTTTCCGCTGAGTGTTTCCCCAAAGTCTTCTCATTAAGAAAATTTGACATTTTGAGAGACCAGTTAACCAGATCTATAATTTGTAAATTCAGAGGAATGATCAGCATTGTGCAAAGAGAGGCTCCAAAACAGCAGCACAACAGCCAGCTTCTTTAGTAATAACCATTTCCTGATTACGCTCTTTGTAATCAGAGATGTCAACAACTTATCTGTATTAAATAAATTCTTTATTGGTCTTCTGCAATATTTTAAGTAGATGAGAAACTGATAGAAATGCTTGAAAGTTGCCTCTGTGATGAATTTTACAAATTTCACTTTTAAAATAAATACACTTTTTGATAAAATTCAAATTTATTAAGACATGCTCTGTTATGCCTTCTCACTGAACACATTTCTGATCTACTTTTGAGTTACACGCTCAGAATCTGTTCAAAATCAACAACTAAAGAGGCCCAAACTTTGGAACCACAATGTTTTCCACTGCAACATCAAATGGCTTCTTTTGTGTTTTGGCATTTATTTTTGACATTTATATTATTTTGCTTCTAAAAGCAGTTTAGTATTGTACCTATCTCTTTTTTAGAACATTGTTTAGATTTATTTTCTTCTAGATTGTTTTTTGTAAGAAACATTGACTGTTAAACTTTTTCAAACTCTCTTTGTGCTTGAGAATCACTTTGTCAAATCTTTACTTAGATTTCATTAGAAGCAAAGTGCAAATTTAAGTGTTTTCCTGTTTCTTTTATTCAAAACTTTGTTCAGAGTTGGCTTCTTGGTTTTCATATTTTCTTTGTTTACTATGGTTGTTCAATTGTGATGCTTTCTAAATAAATGATAAAAACAATTTTTTTTAAAATAACAAAAGTAGTGATATAAAAGTCAACTTCTACAGTCAACCTTAAATTCATGGACAACAAACCTAATAAAAATACCTACATATTTGTACAGATTAAGGTTGTAATTTCTATATGTTTGTGTTCATGCAAAAATTTATAGAACACATCCATATGTACTAACTAGACTATAAAAATTTTTTGTGAATAATAAACAAACAATAAAAAAAATCTGAAGTGATTAAAAAATTTGATCAAATAGCTGAAGAAATGCAAGCCTAATTTACTGCAGGTTTTTAAGATTTTGCAGTTTTCCTATGTCGCTTGGTGCATTTCCCGTAACAGAATTAAAATTCTCAGAATTACTTTCCCAATCTTCAAATCATTGTTCCACCCGTGCACATCACAGAGATACATCTCATTATTTTGAGCAACTTGCAGTTTTTGGTTAAACTGATATATTAAACATGTCATATTAGGACATAAACTTTAGCGTGACGTTCAGGAGGAGCACGGAAAATGTCAAATGCATGAGTTGCATTTGACATACAACTCATGCAGTATCAAATTGTTCTAAAATGGGTTAGTAACAAACAGTGACTTTATTTTCAGACAACACTTTGTCTACAATCTGATAATCCAGAGCCCTCCAGTTCAACACATTCCCTGGTGTGAAGTTTCGTTCATCCACATAATTCTGGATCTCACAGCCAGAGAGGACGTAATCCCACATGTGGACATCAGACATCATGCCAATGAAACACTGTTTCAGGTCAAACCCGCCACCATGGCTGTCCTGCTCCTGTTGGAAATGCAGAGTTTAAATATTTAGTTTTTTTTAATGATAGAGAAATAGAAAAAAACGCATGAATGATTTGAATCAAATGTTATATCGTCAAAATAATGACGATATAACATTAGACCATTTTCAACTGGTCTGTCAAGGTTAGCCTTTTGTGTGGTAGCTAGTAAATAGTCAACACTCAGATGTCGCTTCCTAAGTACAGTAGCTTTTAGACAGCCTTGAACACCTAAGAAGCATAATGACATAAGTAAAATGTTTCCTATTTGGTTTTATTACTTATTGAATAAAGGCTTTACATTGTCTTATGCAGAGGTTTTTACTGATTTTGGGTCAAGTTACTGCTTGTTTGACATTTTAAAATTGTGTATAACACAGTGATCTATGTTAAGGCCACTGTATCATTTGTGTGATACAGTATGATATGATACATTTAATCCAATGATATTTTGGATTAAAACAACCCTCCACATCCTTGTTAACCCTCTCAGGCTCAAATTATTTGAAAAGACTGTTTAAGTTGTTGCAAATCTGCAACCCCTGCCTGGAGAGGGTTAAAATGGCAGATTTTTTGAGAATATAATTTCGTTTGTTGGTGTGATTTCCTGTGCAGTCAAGAAATCACTTAAAACAAACACCTCCATCTGATAAGATGGAGGTGTTTGTATGAGTTTTTATATTTTTTTGTTATTACTGACCAAAATGATGACAGAGAGAGTGTAATGGAAATTTTGAAACATTTCCTTCCTTTTCTCAGTATTTAAGTTCCTAGTTTTTTCTGAACTAGATTCTTCTTTTATGCTTGTGCTGGTTTCATGCTCTGTTCTCATTGTGCCAAAACTGTAAGTCTTTATTTTGACATTATTAAAGCTCTTCTGCTCACTTTTCTTCTTCTGGTCCGGCTATTCTCGATTCCAACTAAAAACCAAACATCAAGCAAGTTAAAAGATCTAATTTTTGTCCCATTATTTAAAGAATCACAAGCACAGTCAGGAATGTCATTGATATTTGTGATTCTGGAAAGACAAAATCAATGTATTTGGAATTTGGAACAACTTCAAACTACAGTGAGAATCATTGTCCACAAACAGAGAAAACATCTGTCGCAATTCTTACCAGAATTGACCAGCCTACTAATCTTCTCCAATAACAAATTGACATTTCAATGATGAGGTCATACAGTAACTAAGAACAGCATCTAATGCCCTGCAGGCATGATTTGCTTCAGTCAAGGTTAGTATTCAGAATTCAATAATAGGAGAGAGATTGGGCAAATATGGCCTCTATGATAATTGGTGGTTTTAAGGTCAAAACCACCAATTATCATGAAAATATACTATATTGACAATCTAAAGCATTTTACTGTGATAAAGCCAAGTTTCATAGTTTTGATGTCATATGGAGATCTTCTCAACACAGAAAGACAAAGTGGAAAATTATAAATCATCTACTTCTATTTTATAAATTCACCCAACTTTAGTTCTGTTTTGTTTCAAGTTTGTTTTTATGTTTGTCAACCTGTAAAAAAATGACAAAGTGATTCATAGATTGCTAAAAATGACAGGTGTTTGTTACATTCTTCAATGAATAAAGGACATTTTACCTGTCCCACAACAATATTGACAGGTCCTCTTATGTTCGACCCAGAGTTTGTGAATTTTCTGACCGAAGGCTGTCCATTGAACCACAGTTGTGTCAGCCCAGTCACAGAGTCCCAGGTGGTGCAGATTGAGTGCCACGTGTTGGGCTTGTAGTCCAGGCCTCCATATTCAGACTTTTTGTTCTTAATGTGTGCCTCCATTTCTTTATTGGTGTTATCCCAGAAAATCAAAAAGTCATTGGGACTATTGGGTGTGGACAAGGAGAACAGCATGTGGTCTCTCTTGAGGTCTGTAAATGATCTGTTACATTGATAGACATAAAGCATTGCATAATATATCTCTCTCACAAGGATGAAGAATGTTCTTCTACATAATTGATATTTAAGGATACAGTACCTGTGGCAAACAGTTACGGCACTAAAATTTATTTTTGATGTGTTAAGCTGCACATGAGCTCTGTTGGTTTCCTGTGGAAAGGTGAACATCTTACCAGAAAGATCTGAAAACATAAAATGTAAAATATTTCTTTATTTTATTCACAAATACCTTTGAATACCTGATTTGTCAAATACAGTCTGATCTTTTGACAGTAATGCAAAATAGGAAGAGACATTTGAAACATCTTTCAGGCACCACAATGTAAAGAATGAATTAATGGCAAACCATGTACATTATGCATAATGTAAAGGCAAAAGCACTTTACAAATTACTAAAGTTTTCTTTTATTTTTACCCTTTTTTTTGCTGGTTTCCTTTTATCTTAGAATTACTTTAAATGGCAGATTAAAACAGCATTGCTGTTTTAGTTTCCCAGGAAGTACAAAATATCGAATTAAATTTTCATTTTGTTAAAGTTATTGTATGTTATGCTTGACCTTCCAATGAAATTACAAAAGGGAAAATATATATAGATATAGATATACATATATAGAGAGATAAAGTACCTTGCATTAGGGCATCACAAGCTGTCATCATCACAAAGAGAAGCAGCGCCTTCATCTGATTAAAGAATAAAATTGACATTACAGCCAAGTTTTCATCACACCAATCTGAAAGTTAAAGTTTCCTTTGAATTTTGTCAATAAACCACAAAACAGCAAAAGGTAAATATGGACAATGATTAATTTTCTGCTGAATTTGAATTCATGCTCTCACCTTGAAACCTGTGCAGTGACTGTGTTGACACCGATGGATAGAGTCAATGTTTCTACCCACGTCCTCCCTATTTCAACAAAGTGTGAACTTTTCAACTGTGAACTTCCTTAAACCAGTTCTTCTTTTCTGTCACACACAGAAATCTTAGCCTCTTGTTTAATACACACAAACTATGGGCTGCTTACATTGATGTCGAAATAGTTCTTGCACATCCAGCAAAAAAGACATTTTGTTCGTTTCTCATTTTTTTTAAGTCCCACAGCACAGATTTTAACAGTAAGTTCTATATGTTGGTAGTTTTGGTGCTTCACTTTTGTATACATGCTACACAGTTTTAAGTGTGAATATCCCTTCAGGGCTTTCTGCTGCAAAGCTTTTCCTGGCAGGAACATTTTGCAGCAGAAAACTTCTTGTCAGTAATCAATCACGAAATACTTTTTGGGCAAAAACTGCATAGACAAATTCCTCCTGAATGTAGAAAGAAAAGAATTTGGCGTACAAATTATCTTGACCTGATGTGAAATTGCTTACCATTATCATATTTTGTGACTATTGAATTTAGTCTTTTTTTTGGGGGGGGGGGGTCTTTATCAAGTCATTAGCACATGGATCATTAGTGCTCAGCACAGCTTCAACATAATTAACTTGTCACTTTTAGCCATCTTAAGAAGTCATATTATATGTATTAACTGAACTTACTTGTACTTATTTCTTTAATATGTTTCTACTGTTTGTTGCATTTACTTTCATTTTAGTTTGTATTTGTGCCAGTTTAGAGAATAGTTAAGTTAAAAACCTATGTATCTACTGCATCACTGTCTGTTTGAGACGGCAACAATTCAGGTGTTCCTTAAATACCTTTTAGCTTTTGTGAAAGAATATCACAGCTTGTGTACATAATGCTGTTCCATTGAGACCAATGTCACAAAGCTGATTCACGTTTCCACAGAAATACCATCTAAAATCCATAAACTTTATGAAGCTTCCTGCTGTCCTGCAGTAAATTAAAAGTGGAGAAAATACTTCTCATTTGGTGGAGGATGAAAACAATCATCAGATTCATATTAAGATTAGATGCAGCCCATTTCAAATTATTGGATGAAATAATGAGATAAAATAATCTTGGACTCCTTGTTTAATGTATGGCTGAGTAAGCGATAACTATTGAAATTAATTACAGAACTTTTAAGATCACAGAAGAAGGACACTACAATCTTTGAATGTAAACTAAAGAGAAGGGATTTCCTTTGTGAATTTTTCTAAAACTTTAGTACCAGCAAGTTTGGAGTCTCCATGGGACTTGTCATCAAAAGAAAGAAGATAAAGAGAAGCCTGGTAAACTAATCAGGATTCATTTGTTATAGAATAGATAGAAGTTAAGGAAACTGAGTTAGGGTGTGTCATCTGATTATTGACGCAGGAACAGGACAATAATATTGTAATATTAAAAACAATCATCTACTGGACCAGATCATTTAATTGCTCATCTTCGGGGGAATAATTTGAGTTATCTATTACGGTTCTAGACTATGTTTTACTTCCATCAAACCACAAAAAGCAAGATCCCAAAGTTAACTCTTCAAATCTAAGAGTGAATTTGGACGATAACGTATCTCTGCCGAGGGAGAAAAGCACCAGACACAAGTCTATGCAACACAGGGTTTTCTCATTTATTAATAGATAAAACAATGCTTTTATAAGGACAGATAGTTACAGTTTACCTCTCCGTCACACCACATAAAGCATTCTGTTAGGCTGGTTGTGTGACAGGAAAACAGTGTCTCATACTCAATCAGTGCTTGGCTCGCCAGAGAATGTGAGTGGGTGGGGGTAGGTGTTATTTAGCAAGCATGTCTCAAAAGAAGCAACAACAACAACAAAAAAGAATAAAAAGAGCAATGATTTAATATAAGGCACTGTTTTGTGATTGGGACTTTTTGCAAGTCATGGTATTAATTTAACAGTTTAAGTACAAAGCGTTGCTTTATTCTCTACCATCACTTTTTCTACTATCTCATAATCCAGAGCCGCCCAGTTCAACACATTTCCTGGAGTGAAGTTTCGTTCATCCACATATTTCTGGATCTCACAGCCAGAGAGAACGTAATCCCACATGTGGACATCAGACAGCATCCCAACCAAAGACTGCTTGACGTCAAACCCACCGCCATGACTGTCCTGCTCCTGTAGGAAAAACAATTTTTAAAGGTATTAAAAAACGGACTATTTTGAAATATATTTGTAAAGTTCAACATTAAAAAGAATTTTATAAGAATTATGGAATATGTAAGATGACTGACAATTTACCTGTCCTAACAGAATTATGGGAGATCCTCTGATATTTGATCCAGAGCGGGTAAATTTTCTAACTGATGGTAGTCCATCCAACCACAGCTGCACCAATCCAGATGTGGAGTCCCATGTGGCACAGATAGAGTGCCACGTGTTTAGCTTGTAGTCAGTTTTTCCAAATTCTGCATATATATTCTGAGTAAAGATCAGCAGTTCTTTATCAGCGCCATTCCAAAAAACCAAAAAGCCATTGGAAAAAGTGGGTACGGCAAGAGAAAATAGGACGTGGGACCTTTCGAGGTCTGTAAAGGATCTGACGGGGAATCAAATGCAACTTGTGTTACACACTTCACAGAGAAAATAAAAAAATGGTTTATTTACAGAAGTGTGCAAGAGAATCAAGATCTCCACTATTTTTCTCAATTTAGATTTTCCTTTTTGAAATGTTTTGAAACCATGTGACATAAGATTTCCATGCATGCATGCATGCAAGATTTCCATGCATGCATGCAAGATTTCCATGCATGCATGCATTTAATGATCAACTGAAGTATCATCAAATGAATGATTGAAGGATACAGCATGTTTACTGGATTATTTTTTCTTTCCACACTTCTTAAAGCCCTTTGAGACACTGGTTATCTGCTGAAGATCTTTTTTTCACTCAAAACCTTTTCTTTTGTCATGCACCTTTCACTGTTTTTGAATTATTTAACATTTATTGCAGTGCTGTGGTCATGACCAAGTTCAGGACAAGTCAATCAAAAAACTTTGGCAATTCTTCAAAACTCTCGTAAAACTACAGCTTGAGACCATCTGACAGAAGTCAATAAACTTTTGATGTTTGGAAGAAAGATAAGATAATTTAGCAGAGGGGAGGTTAAAATTTTTTATATAGTACAATAATTGTGAAAATAATACCTTTGGCAAACAGTTACTGCATTAAAATCCCGTTTTGTAGTTTTTAGCTTCACAAGAGTTGTGTTGGTTTCAAGAGGGAAGGTGAACATCTTGCCAGACAGATCTGAAAAAATATAACAGAGAAATAGAAATGACCTCTTTTTAATGGATATGTGAAAAAAAAATTGACAGGTTTGGTAGACTTTAAATTTAGGATAAGTGCTGTAAAAACATTCAGAACAAAAACAAAGCATAATAAGCTCAAAATTCAAAGCAAATCTAAAATAAGCCAGCTATAATTCTTACAGTTTACTTTTTATGTGTAATAAAAGTCAATTTACCTTGGGTTACTGCAGCACATGCTGTCAGCATTCCCATTAAGAGCAGCAACCTCATCTAACAAAAGAGACAAAAATGCATGAAAAACATTAAGATCCTATTGTGCTTTAGAAATCCAAGTATTCTAGCTGGTCTAAAACAACACTTTCAATTCATCTTGAATTTCTCCAAAACAGCTCTGATGGAAATGAAAAAGAAACTGAGGCTTTTGTAAAATGTTTCAATTTCTTACCAAAGTTAAAAATAGTAGTCTTACCTTAAAAATCAGTATGCAGACCTTGATGCAGCTCTGAGAGGTTTGTGCTTTTATACTCAGTCATATCATAATTCTATTCATGAACTTCCTTCATCTGTTTCTCTTTTTTGTTAAGTCTGTCAACGGTGCATTATTTTAGCTCTTGATAAGCTACATTTAGAAGTTCATTGATCTGACTGACCTGTTTTTTGATAAGCAGCTTTGTCAACAATTTTTTACTTCTTTCATTTATTTGACTACGATGACTACGAATGATAGTCATCATTCGTAGCTGCATGTATTAAGCAACATAAGTGGTGTATGTTTGAGTGGAACAGACACCAGTATGTTTCTTTATATTTCTTAGTTGTAAGTCTGCCGGTCTTTTTAATTTAATGAAATTAAAAAGAGGAGAGTTATTTAGCAAAATAGAAAGCATTTGTGCACACTTTATTTTAAATCAAGCAACTTCTCACACTCCGAAACTGTCTTTTCTGCTATGAAACAAAGAAAAAAACTCAACAGCTGGATGAACTCAACGTAATGTTCTTATTTTTAATCAGTGAAGAGTTAAGTGAGGTTAAAAGTGTTTGCTTTTTTTTTGCATAGCTGAAATGGAAACTGATGTGTTTACACTTTCTCAGACTTACAGACTCCAGTGCTGCATCCTACACAATATTAAACACATATGACACATTTCTTGATTTATATATGTTTTAATACAAATGGCATGAAAAACTGTGGGTTTCACTGTTTATCCAGAGTGTTTACTTGCACATGAAATTAAGACTTAGTGAAATGTAATCACTATTCTGTTGTTGAAGAGATTCAAATCACTCTTTAGTGATAAAATGTGAATCACTGCAAATGAAAATCTTATTACAAGACAAAAAAAAACATTTTTTTTTCTTAGTTGTTATTACAATTAAATGTTTCAGGTCACAGAAACATTTAACAAGATCACATATGATCTATTAATGAGACATTTACATTATTCTCAATCAATTCATTATCTCAAGTTCTTGCTTTAATACTTTTTTAAATTACTAACTTTATTTCTGTTGTTTATTTTTTTTTTTTATTTTAATGTAGACACAACACTAAACTTGTTTTATTTGTTCCAACTCAACAGTTTTTTAAATGGGAAAATATTATAAGGAAGTGCTTTAGCAACTCTTGTAAAAAAGTCATATGAAGGTTTTTGATTTGTACTTTATGACTTTTATGGGTTTAGATATTTTGTTGGAGTCAACACCTTCACTGAAGGATAACGAGACGTGTTTTGTCAAGTTTTAAGGCTTCTCTTTTATTAAGCAAAACTTGTTTTTGAATTTCTTAAACTGCTCATTGGACAATATTCAGTGAAAAATAGATGAAAATTTAATTGGAAAAATCTTTTTTTACATCTTTACTTTATAGCAGGTCCGACTGTGATTTTATTTAACCAGTTAAGAGACAGATGAAGCATTAACAAATACAGACTCAGCAGAGTACATAATTGCAAGCATTTAGCAAATGCATTAAGAGTTTGTAATATGCCAAAATTATTGCAGAAATTGATTGTATTCTGAAGGGCAGAATACAATCAGAATGCAGAATAAAGGTCAGTGGAAATGTAATTTTATAAATATAGCAGTATCTTGAAAATGTCATTTATTTCAGTAATTTAGTTGAAAACATCAAACTCATTACAAAGACTCTGATTTTTAGTTCTACTTTATTTTAATTTTGACTTACAGCAAATGAAACACCACAATTTAGCTTCTTGGAAAATGTGAATTTCACATTAAACCCAATAAAAACTACATTTTAATTCAGAAATGTTAGCCTGCTGAATGTATTGTTCAGTACATACACCTTATACTATGAATAATATGAATTAGTGATTTATTGTAGCATTGTGTGAAGGTGCTATTCTTGTATCCTGTGCATCTTTTCATACCTGTTTTTCTTACACTTTGACTAGTATAAATTATTCTGTGAATAGACAGCTTTGTCAGCCATTTGTTTTTACTTTTTTCAATAATTTATAATAATATTCAAATTTTTTGAGACGCATCCTTTTTGTGTGTGAACACTACTGGAGACAGAGTACTTTAAGTAAACCCTACAGTTGACTAAAAATACAGAAGTATGAACAACAGTCATCACATTTTACATCAAACTGGGTGTAAACTGTGGCCCTCTGACTGCTGATTCAGGGATTTCTGCTCTACATAAATGTACTCATCAGCATTTTTGCACATTGCTTTCAATGCAAGTCCAAAACGGCTCATTTGAATTCATTTAATAAAGTATCAGAAAAATATTAGACTCAAAACGACAAAAAATGTTTTTTTCCAATATTTCTGTTTTGGTACTTTTGGCTTAAATTACATAACTGCTTTAATGAAGTCATATGGATTCAAAAGTTGCTTTTTATATGGGGAATTTAAGTCTGTCGGTTTTGCAGTAATTCTTGGAGACACAAGGATAGATCATATCTGAAAAACTGATTTTTTTTCTTTATCCAATTACTTGTGTTTATTCTCTTTCTATTGTTCCATTGCTATTCACTGCAGCAACAATGATATACTTACACAAAAAATGATAAGTATAAAAGCAACAGAGACATGAAAAATGATCCCATGTTCAACTGTTTCGCCCCTCTTGCTTTAAGAAATACTCATTCCAAACCAGCACTGTTAATCTAAAATTATTGTTTAATATGAAAAAGTTCTGCTGACTCTGAGGATTTTCTGGGTTTAATAATCTCTTCATCATTAATCTTCCCCAAGAAAACAAAACTTGTCATGACTATACGGGTGAGTTGCCTCTGTAAAGGGGTTTTCATCAAACAAGTAGAGCTTGTAAAATCAGTTGCTCTTCTTCTAAGACCTGTTGTTACATTTAATTAACTATGCTTTGTTTTCTACATTGAATCCCATTCAAAACATTTGACTTTGTGGGGCTTTTCCCTCAGAAAATATAGAGAAATGCACTGAAAATGGAGTATTTGCCAGTTCCCATTCGGTAGCATTTGTGCTCTAGCTACCAAAATGGCTGGGAGCGGTCATGTAGCTATGATCATTTTTTATAATACTGCAATAGCAATAATGCTGGTATTGTAAATAGTTTATTTTTGCTGTTCAACAATAACAAAACTATTATTTTTGCTTGGATTTGGGAAGAAAAATTCAAAAATTTAATTAAGTACAAAAACAATAAAATGCCGGTTTCATGTGTTATTTTTTTTTTATTATTGTTTGCTCCCATAACATTGGCTATATAAAATTATTCCTTAATAATTGATAAAAAAAATACTTACAAAACACAAAGTGAAGGTGTTCAAACTGTGGATGTAAATATGGTAACACTTACCACAGGCTTTTATTGTTGTGCACTATTTTGTTTTGCATTATTAAAACTGAAGTGGTTAAATTACATTTAGAGTGCTCTCGGACGAAAATATGTTTCTATGTAAGTCTGTGACAGTTTGGGACAATCCTACGCTAACAGTGACTTCTTGCTGTCGTTCTCAGGATCCGTCCTCTCCCAGCCCTGCCGAATGCGGCTGAGGCTTTTATCCACACAAGGCAGAAGAAGAAGCAGTCTGAACACCAGCACCAGGGTGGGCACCACCAAGCAGAGCATGTAGCCGGGAGGAGTGAACCATTTGTATTGCGAGATGTACAGAAATCTGTCCCAACCGTACAGATAGGTGTGAAAGGTGCAGAAGAACAATGTCAGGTATCCCAACTTGGACTGGAAAACAGAAAAACAAAGAAACGTCATCATGTTAGTATAGAGTCAAGTAATTATTTTTTTTATTCAAGTTGTTTAAACTCAGACTGAGAAATTTAGGAAAGTGATACCAAATATTTAATTTATAGACACTTACTCAATGTGAATTTAATCAAGGACTTATATATGGAGATGTAGCAGCTCTGTGCAAAGATTGACTTTGCGTCTGGTGAGATTTGTCATGTTGTTCTAACTATAAAGTTTAATTCTTTTGCATTTTTAATTTTCTAAAAGACATGCCACTCTTTTCTGCAGATATCTTGACAGTGAGCTTTAGAGATATTTTCCTTCCACTCAGCTTACTGGGTGATGATGATAAACTTTATTTCTCATCCAGCCTAGTAGCAAGCCTAGTACTCTTCTTAAAAAGAAATGAACGTTCATTTCACCTGAGTAGAAGAAAGCCAGACATTACTATTTAACTGTATCTACAAACTGCGATCAATTAGAAATGCAAACTGATGTAATTTATTTCAACTGGAATTGCAAGTAGTACTACTATTAATGGTGCTGTTACTGTGTTGATCAATAATTTTATAAATTTTATATATTTTAACATTTTCAGTCTTGTTGACTCCCCCACAGCTTCGTAGTGTCCCAGGATAAGAATGCCAAGTAACAAGGTGACCTTTACTGAGACATTTGCACCAACATGTCTGAGTTTTATAGAGGTAATCCCAGAAATGTCCCTGGAGATTTACATGAAGTACGATCTACACAAAGAAAAATTTAGGACTGTAGCTCAGGATAATGTGTGCTCCTAAATTACATTTGATGAATAACTTAACATTTAGAGTCGCTCTAATTTGGGCTGGAGATAAGGAGTAGGGTGGAGTGAGAAAATGAGCTTGATCTGACCCAAATACATTTATGAATGAGTTCATTTCCTGCACTGTGCTTACTCTCAATGGTCAACATGAGGAAAAAAGATAAACTTCCAACAGAAAAATTGGAAAAGGGCAAAGAAAAATATTCACTGAATTTCATCCAACAGGAAGTTAGGAATAGACATCTGCATGATGTAACCATTTTCCATCTGAGCTGAAGCACAGTTGTGTCCATCAGTCACGGCCTGAGTGTTAGTCAAAGCTCTTTTTCTGGAAAATGCATCATATCCCTTTTTCAGGATCGGGATTCTGTCTTTGAATTTCTATATCAGCTGAACAATTGAACCAAAACATTTGTGGCAAATTGTACTTTGTACAAGTGGGCACAAAGTAAGAAAACATATTTTTAGCATTTCTGCATTGAATGAAAAGTTATTTGGATTACATTCAATTTGCCTTGAAATAATTTGAGACCAAGAGGGAAAGTTTATGAATGCAACACACTCAAAACATGTAATATCCAAGCTTTTGGGGCGTCTGGTGGTAGTTTGTGATACAACTTCTTCTTAGTTGTGTCATTTGAGGTGTTTAATTGTTCGGTACTTTACTTATATACATAGCAGCTTATATGTAATCCAAAAAGTGAAGCTGCCATATCAAGTTTAAAACAGATGATTCACATTTACTGTCGAGTGAAAAACATTTTTGTATCAGAAATATTTACAATCTTTAAAACTAATCTTGGTTTTAGACAAAAAATAAATAAATAAGAGTAGATACAAAAAAATTCTTTTACTAAAGGGAAGAAGTCATCCAAATCAACCTGACATTGTGTGTGAAGTAATTCCCCCTTTGTTCATTATTTGCTCAAGCTAAATATTAATACTTACATAGTTTAAGTAAAACCTAGTATCTACGTGTGATTGTGGTCAAAGACACTGAATCCCATTGAGAAAAACCTGTTCTGTATACGTAAGACAAACATAGAAGTTTTCACCTGAATGAAGCTGAACTCTCTCCAGCTGAGAGCGTTGCTGACAGAAGGGAGAGAGGAAATTCCCAAAAGGAGATACAGGCCAAATCCCAGAGCCCCTATGGAGTAGTATGAGTCAGTCCTCCATGCCATGGTTGTATCAAATGAAGATGTCTTGTTATTCTTGATCTGAAAGTGAAACAAAATAAAAATAAAAATGTTTATTGCAACTCCACAGGTAAAATCAAAGAAATGTTTCATAAATATTTTACCTGTGAGATGGTATTTCCAGCAAGTCTGAATCTTACATAATACCTGAGTACAAAAAACACATTATTTTGAACAAAACGTTTCAAATTAGGAACAAAAAAAAAAAAAAAACACTTTCTATCTTTCATAGATGCAATTTATCTGAACACATTGTGAGAAGAATAAATGATTTTTGTGACAATGAAATCTGTCGAATGTTAACCAGATGGACTTTTTATTCTTTGTTATCAATTTGTTTTAAGTTGAGTACACATTAAAGGAGATCTAAAGTTGACTAACAATGCTTTGTATGAAAAAGGGGTTATTTGGAGTTGCTATGGAAACACCTAAAGATTTAGGGTAGAGGTAGAGATATAGATATAGATTGTCATACCTTTTGTACAATGCAATGAAACATTTTTCAATGAAAGGAACTTTCCCAATAGGGATATTTATATGGATTATTACCTACCTAATAGGGATGATTAGAGTATAAATCACATGCAGGGAAGCAAGGGCCAGAGCAATCAGACCTAGTTGTTTCCTGCACAACATCCAGCGATCCAACCAGTCAGGAAAACGCCTAAAACAAACATTTTGTATGTTATCAAACATGCTTTCTCCTGTATATCTTTAGAGAGTTTGCATGTTGGTCAATATCCTGTTCTTACTTGTACTTGGTTCCTCTGTAGAGCTGAAAGAAGCCAGCTATGATTCCAGGCAGATAACAGAGAGACAGCAAGATGAGAGATACACTTGGAAACACCTGGAAAAGAAGAAAAACGAAAACCTTCTAGTTCAGGCTTAGTAGCTTTAAAGAAAACATGCTGTTTGTAAAAATGTATAATCACCTTGTTAGCCAGAGACATCATGATTCTGAAGGAGATGTCTTTCCCCTCGTTAACATATGCATAGATGACATCTCTGGTGAGAAGATAGAAGAAGAAGAAGGCAGTGAGGCCAATGGTGAGGTGCATGGGCAGCCTCCACTCGGGGAACAGCTGCAGGGGGAAGTCCTCCAGCTCTCTGGCTGCAGACAGAGACCCTCTATCCTGAACAGTGAAGCCCAGTTTGGTGGAAATCACTGCCACTGCCTGCTTAGCCTCAGGATTGTTTCCACACAGGTACACCTGGAGCATGAAAAGGTTCATACAACTCTAAAAATCTCCTGTGTCAGAAACGTAGTGCTCAGCCATGTTAATGCAATATTTATGCACATATGCATGTGTACACACATTGATGAAAGGATGTGTTTGACTCTGGAGAAATGAATATGAAAGTGAACAAAGACAGCATGGCTTCTAATACTAAATTTAGGTGAGGAAAGCAGGTATCAAGCAACAATGCTCAGTTAACACCTTGTGATGTTGCTGATGGTGCCCCAAATACAGAGCACCCCAATGCATAAACATGCAAACACTTGTGTGTGTGTTTTTTTTACCATCCTCTGAGACCTAACAAACAGATCAAAACAAAGCAGGAAAAAAAAACATGTGCTGCAGCTTTGCACTACAGAGAGAGAGCAAAACTTGTGATGTTGAGCTTAGATCTGAGAGACGATGGAGTTCATTGATTCAAAGACACATCACAGGTGGCTTTCAGAGCAAAGACATTAGGTTGACTACCTAAATTTACATTCTTTTCCTTAAATGTGATCTGATGAATGTTTCAAAGTGTGTGATTATAATTTAGACTGAAGTTCTTCCCGTCTTGAGTAGCACCCACTGTGCAAACACATCAGAGAACTCGGAAAAAGAAAAACTTGTTTTTCTCTGATGGAATAAGAAATCTGTCAAACAAACAAGTCGCTAAAACTGAAATAAAAGATCACACCAGGAAAAGAGAAATACTGCATTTTTGATGAGCAGGAGAAGAAAAAGACTGGGTCTATTTTTTTATTTTCCACAGAGAAACTTGTTAGTGTCACAACAGATCCAGTACCTGTCTATTGGCATCTGAAGGTCCGTTCTGAAGAGCCCAGGCTGACAAGGTGTTAAATGCTTTCACCACATGGGCCCCAGGGATTAACCTGGAGAGTGAATAACAAACTTTAGCTTCATGCTCTGCCAGCCACAGAAGCTCTGACCACATCCATAAGACACCACCTAATCTCCACTTACCTCTGCAGATGCTCAGCGTTGGCATCTGGATACATATTCTTCTTGAGATTGTTGCTAACGTCCACAACCACCTTGCAGCAAATAAAAATCGGGAAAGTGGTTTAAAAGTCAGAAAATAAACAACACTAATGATGCACAACATGATGTGATTGCACAGTTAGGTACCTTCCCATTGAGTTGAGGTGCTAGTGCCTCCAGGAAGTCATAATGTTCTCTGTGAACACAAACAAAGACCAAACTGGCTGACTGCGCCGCTGCATCGTGGCTCATCACCTGTACAAGTCAGACACACAAACACGAGACGACCGTCAAGCACAAAAACACAAAGGTGCATCTGGTTCTTCTGTTGTTTTCGTGGGTGTCATTTATCTGAAGTAAATTAACTGAGTTGTTCAAACACATGGATATTTGCGTGACATAGAAATTTCTCAAAAGAGTGGCACACTGGTGAATATTTGACTACGCCATGAAGAACTGCTGGAAGTTACAGAGCTGTGAAAAAGTGTTTTCCATCCATCCATTTTCTTACACTCTTGTGTGAGACATTTCTCCCTGGAGAAAGTTGGGGAGTTGGGGTACATCATCTCAAAAATGTGTTTTCCTCCCTGCAGGTTTCATTTGCTTTTTCTTTTTTTTTATATCACACTTGAATATTGATCAAATATATTGAATCAAATCACACAATAATAACTTTTTGTGAATATGAAAAGCCTCACCCTTTGTTGTTCAATCATTAACTGCAATTAACCAAATTGGCTGGGAAAATGCCTTCAATTTCATCAGCCCATCCCCAGAGATTGTCACTGGGACTCGCATGCACAGAATATGAATACGTATTTATTTTTCATAAGATCACTGCATTTGTGGAAATAAATAAGGATGCTACACATTGTAGCATGTATGTGTCCACTTTCCTGCCTTCTTTGGCTCAACATGATGTGTCTGTCAAATGCACTGACATACAGATTTGATGAAATGTGGTACACCAGTCAGACAGAGGTCACTTTGAAAGACATCAAACATCTGGCTAAGGAGCCCATGTGACAACAGCCTGGTTCTGATTGATAGACAAATTTGATTTATGCTGTTCAGCCTGCCATTAAAAGATCTGATATACGTTTCCTCTTTAGGCTTAAATCCCCCCCAAGAAACTGAAAAGGAAGACTTAGTATTCACTATGACAGAATTTTATGAAAACATTTGGAAACGAATTATATTCTCAGCACACCAGAATGTGTCAAGTTTGTGTTCATATGTGATATAAAAGATGAGAACAGTCTGCATCACACTGTACCCATGCATCATCTGTGCTAATGCCTGTCTACACACAACCAATCAGTAACATTGTTTAGTTAATGAAAAGACAAAAGAGACTTTGCACTTTAAATTTAACCAAAAACAAAACCTCAACAAAACACAGTACAATATAATATTTTTTGCTCAGTCCACACCGGACAATGTAGCACATACCTGAGCTCCTGGAGGAATGGGGCCGCAGCTGTGAGGTCTCCGGCTCCCATACACCAACCTATAACCAGACTGCAGTAGACGTTGACCCAGAGAGCGCCCCAAGTCTCCCGTCCCAAAGATGCACACCGTCTCCTGTTCAGGGGTGGCTGCAGCACTCGCAGGATACAGCGACACGCTCTCTGGCTTCACCTCCTCCGACATGCTGCACTGCTTGTCTGGCGACGTGGAAGCAATCTAACACAAGATATGTCGTGTGGATTTGACAGAACAAATTATTCCTACTGGTGGCTCTTCTTTCAGGGGCAGCTGAACTGAAATGTGAGACAGTAAAGTGTCTGTATTAAAGACAGATGTAGAAAAAAACGGAATGTGCCTTTGAATTGGCAGCTTACCGTGTTTGTCTTGGGAAAGTGCAGGAGCTGAAGGAACTTTAGGTCTTGAGGCAGTTTTTGTACTTACCCACCCCCTCCCAGTTCAGAATGGGCTGTGTGTAAAGTCTGGAAACTCCAGGGATAAAGGTGATAGCCATCTGTGCAAGTACTGGCAAAACTGTTAGTTATGAGCTATGTTTTATTTTTTCTGCGTGTGCATACAAGTGTGTTTCTGTTTAGCAGGAAAAACTGGAAATGATTTTTTTGTGGCCTTCTGGGAAGTGAGAAAATAATCTCTGAGATGTTATGCGACAATGGGAAAGAACATTTTCATTTCCAACTGCCTGCCCAGATGTTTTGGTTCTTTCCAATTTTACAAAATCACTATTGTAAATAGATTCTATTTAGATGGTGAAAATCATAGCAAGATGGGATTTTTAGATATTTGCACATTTTAAAATGCAACAGTTTTCAGCTGTCAAAAAGTCAAGTATGAATGAAGCAAAACTCTGAACATGTTCTAATTTGAAAGTAAGTGCAGCTCTGTTGTTCAGACAAAAAATGGGTTTGCCTGCCATCTCTGGCTGTGGATCAGTGACACTGAGCTCTTCAAAAACATACAATCAAAGCAAATTCCAGGTCACAGCATGCAAACACAATGTGCTGGGGTGCTTGCAACTGCCCTTCCTCTCCATGTAGTTTCAGTCCAACATGAAATCCACATGGCCTGCCCCAAGCTCATAATTACTTTGACAAGAGGGCGAAACAAATAGCACACATGTTTTATTAGCAAGATGTTATTTGTGGTGCACTTGGAGCAAAAGAACCCAGTCCTATAATCAGCCACTGATGCATTGGTCAGCAGAATCATGGAGTTTGCAGGAAAACCCACCAATTACAATCTAATCTGCACACTTATGTTGCTTTCTATGAGTAATTAATGTTCTTAGCCCTGTAACTCAAGTTGGCCTTTGCCTGTAAACTCCTCTTTTGCTCCCACAGGATGAGAATAGCTCTGGTGTTCAGAGCCAAGGTGAACCACAGATCTCTTGATCTGCCCTGAACTGTAATTACACTTTGTGCTCTGTTGCCTTAGTCAGTGGCCAGTAAACATTTGTGCAATGTGTTTTTTTCACACATTTGTGTAAAGAAAAAAAAAACACATTAGTGCATTTGGTGGAAGTTAAAACACATGTTGGCAAAGTCATAAGGCATCATTTTAAACATTTATTTTTTCAATAATGGCTGGGATTGAAGTCCAAAGCCAAAAAATGTGGAAAAACCTGACAAAGCAAACACAAGGAGACTAAACAAGCTCCCAGGAGTTGTAGAAGAGTGATGACACTGTGAATGAACACTTAACTTGGGCATCAATTCATAATACAAAGTCCACAGGAATATAAGGTAGTGATAGCTAATCTTCAGCTGCAATCTGTCTTCACAGAGAGAAAACATTTCCAATGGTTTAGGAAAACAATTTGGGAGTAGTAGCTTGTAGACCTTATAAACGGCACCATAGCCAAGGATTTGAAGGCACTCTGTGGCAACCCACGTCAATTTTTGTCTGCTTCTGACACAAATGCGCATGTGTATGTGCCAACACTCCAAGAAGGAACAATAATTATTTTGCTTCAAACCCACGACTCATTGGAAATCATCTGATGTACTGATATGCTGTTATAACTAATGTGAAACACATTTTCTTACACATTTTTCTTTTTAATTGTAAGCCGGTGGTCTGACTGCTGGTGATGGTGTTGAGTCTTTAGAATGAACTATGTTGTGTCCTTGTCTCTTAGTTTTAGATTGATCCTTTCCTTGACCCAAAGTGTCCAATCATTTCATTATCTTAGGGTCAAAAGTGTTTCCAACAACTCTTTAAGAAAAACTAAGAGTGCTCACTTCATTCTTTCCTGTGTGAGACCACATTTCCCATCAGCGTTCTCCCATTTTAAAGGTGTTTTTGACAAAAACAATCCATTCATTTTAGTAGATGTGTTTTGTTGTCTCATGTAATGTTGTCACCCATATAACGCTTTTCAGTTTGATGTAAACATCGCTCTAAAAGATCAACAGTCGTCGGCTCTGATATTTACTCCTTAGTGAACAATAACTTTTCTGTTTGCTTTGTTTTCAGCAATAGTGAAATAAATATTAGATATTATTTTCCTTGCACAAAAGGTTCAACAGTCTCCATTTTAAATACAGCTCACAAAAATAACAAGAACCACAAAAATGTCTTATTCTATCAATAAAGAAGAAGAAAAGCACAGCAAGGACTGTGTTGCTTGAAATAAATCAGGCTGGTCTGGTATATGGTACAATGACTTTCTCTCCTCCTCCACATAGAGTAAACATACAGTCATGACCTAAAGTTCATTGCCTTATGAAGCCAATCACAAGATCAACCAGAAAAAGCTCTTTCAGGCCTGAACAAAAAAGATAAATTTCAGCAAGCATAACAGCTGCATGGCAGTACTCTAAACAATCTGGCCTAAAACAGCGTGGGATTTTTTTGATTATCAAAACAAAAGTGAGAGGAGGCAGCAATCAAATATCAAATGTCAAGTATGGAAACAGACTTTCTCAGGCGAGGGTGATGATTGGACTGTCCAGTTTTCCCAGGCACCAGCCATTACCCTGATTGGCTTCATATGGCTCAATATCTGGTTGTATAAGCAAAATGCATGAAAGCTACAAAGTAGATGCTAATGCATTCTAGTGCTTGAAATGAGGCTTACAGTGAAGTCCTGCTTTCTATATATCTTTGACCTTTACACCAACACAGGAATTGATTACCATTCATTACCATGTTTCAGTAACACCTTTTAAGAGGTAGGACGTGTTTTGCTGTAAGACAGAATCCCATTTCAGCTGTTTCTTCTAATTTTTTAATTTGTTTTGTGCATTTTTACTTTGGATATATAGTGTGTCCATTTCTTCCATGGTTGCATGGGAGGGCAAAAGGACGTAGCTCTTGTCTTCCAAAAGTATTAATCCTCCATTCACATTTTGTCATATTTACAAAAATAAACTTACATCTGGTTTTGGAAATTTTATTTGGAAACCTAACAGGAAGTAGAGCTTAATTGTGGAGTAAAACAAAAGTGGCCTTTACACTCTATACATGAATGCCTCTCAACAAAATCAATTTTCCCACCAGATCCACAGCTCTGGTGGGAAAACTGCTTGATAGGACAGCTGTTAGTAATGTACTTCCCAAATCTAGACTTATTTGTGGAAAAGTGTCAAGAAGAAAGCTGTCATTGACTGAACGCCATAAGAAGTCTTCTTTGAAGTCTCCCATATGATGTATATTGCTGTGTGCCCATCATCAGAGATTGCCAACTCTGGTACTCAGGGCACACTCTTCTCCTCCACCACAAATGGCAGGCAGCAAAATAACACATGTGGGCTCGTTGCAGGCTTGCTTCCGGCTTGTTCTGCTTTTACACAAGGGATTAATGGCAAGTGCTGCAGGAATAGCCTCAAAGGGAGGGGAATATGTAGTTCCCTGTCATTTGGCGCCACCTTATAGCACAATAAAGTCACCATGTTGCTCTTAGTTGTTATGGAAATGCTGTATAAGTGAAAACTACTTAAAAGAAATTTGACTTCACATCATAACCATATCTGACACTGAGAAATTGGCCTCTGTCTCTTTAAGAGCCTCCTACCGTTTCCAGCACTCTTCCCTCAGAACATCATCACAACAATGTTTTTCCAGCATGTCTTGTGATGCTGTTTACAACATTCATAGGAATCTTGTTGTTGGTATAATAAGCTCAGCGGATGTGCATTTCTACCAGGCGTTTGCTAATTGTGGTTGTTGCTAATCTGGTGGGGAGGGGAGGCTGTGGGGAAAGAACTTGGCTTGGAGACTGAAGCTCCAAGGTGGAATTTTGAGTAAATGAATATACGTCAAGCAAGATTTTTAAGGGAAAATTTACATGCCACAAAATAATTTGTGTAAATCAATTGACCTTTGCAAACATATAAATGCATAGATTGTGTTTTATTTCCTTATTAAATTATAATTCTTATCCTAATAATCTTTTTTTTTTCAGTTTGTGAAGATCCCATGTGTTGTTTTTTTGTTCTCTCTCCCTCTTTCTCTCTGAAGGCAGAACGTGCCTGCTGTTTTGGGTTCTTTTCCCCTTAAGGTGCTGAATGTCCTCGTATGAACTTTCTCAACGCTCATGTTAGGTCATATTTTCCTTTCTGGGCCATAAGCCAGCACAGCTAGAAAGGCCACGTCTAAAATCATTTCCCTTGGCAGAAGCACAAAGGAAATGATTTGGCTGAAAAACAAACAAGTAACACATTCATAATGTTGCTCGGGTGTGATCAGGCTGTCAAAGCCCCTTTTTGTAAACATTAATATCATAAGGCATTAAAGTCCAGCTGTCTAATTTGCAGCAGATGATACCAGTAGTGAAACTTAAAATTGCTTTGGAAGGACTTGGGAATGATACTGCAAGCTGTGCTTCTCCTTACTGCAAACACTCTCTGTCCCACCACTCTGGTCCATCATGGTGATGTTGAAGAGATTTACAGTGAATCCTCCCTGCTGACCTGTGCTGCTCTGGTACACAATGAATGGACTGTAAAGTTAATGGATCACATCCAATCTTTCCTTGTAGCACACATCACCTTTCTCTCTCTAATACATATATGTGAATCCTTCCAATCCCACTCATCCTGGCTCTTGTGTTTCCAGCAATGCAGATCATCATCAGGATATGGTCTCAGCTTTATACGAGTCCTAATCACAACCATAATAAAACTAGAATGGAAGATTGTGTTATAGTCGTCATTGCACTTAGTGTGTCTATGTAATATTAGACGAGCTCTGACTGCAAGTTCTTATCCTTACCTCATCTTTAGTTGGAGGCTCTGAGCATAACTTTTATAATGCACGAAAAAATCAGTTTAAAAATTTTTAATATCTAAGCTTTTCAATTGATATTTTGCATGAAAAATGTGCAAAACGGCACAAAAGTTCAAATAAGTTGAATTGTGAACACTGAACACAATTAACTGACATTCAATAAATACAGTTCAATGGTATTAAATCAAAGTGAACTGGTTTGAAATGCAATTACTTATTTAATTTAGCTGACCTGAAAGGAAAGGACCTACATTTTCCAAATTTCAACTGAACAGTTGTTTACAGTATTCCCTACTGCTTGCTATTAGTTGCTACTTGTTAGAAGAAGTATGACCTTAACCATTCTGTTCTTATTTTGAGTCAATATTTTTTCAGTTTTCCGACTCAACCGGTCATAAATCTAGCAACTCTTCTGTGTTGTTGGAGACTTTTCTGGAATAGAAAGTCTCCAGAAAAGTTTCTCTATATGCCTGTCTTGAGCGAGCAGGAAGAGGGGCTATTAGCTTCTCCCGTTTCAACAGCACAGTAACATACCTTTGCTAATAGTCAGAGCAGAGGGGACACATTTCATTCCTTGTTCACATTGCAAATAAATCAGACATTTGTGAAGCTAAGTGACACTATCACCAACGCTCACCACACCAACTCCTGACTCACCACCGGCCTGGGCAGAAAGAGCAGTGCTTTTATGCCTGAAATGATAAAGTTGTTCCAAGCCATACCATTGCAACCAATAAGACAATTCAACCACCTCAGAACTGACGTTTGAC